GAGTTCACCACATTCACTTAAGTGTTAACTCAAGGCTAGGTAAGATGAATATAGAACACAAGGTAGGGAGTAAATACCTACCTAGATAGTTGGTTCTCCTCTAGCATTTTTTGACCCTTTTATAAAAAGATAATATTTGCTTTAATGTCTAGCTTTGTGGCAATGAAAATAATTACCTTCTATTTTCTTTTTTTTGTCACAAATGTGATTATAAGTACTTAAAGTTATATAGTGAGTCTTTTTAGATATTCTTCTTTTACTGCCATGATAGTAGAATATTGATATTGTTTATTATTTTTTCAATTCCTTTTATTCAAATGTTAATAAATTATTTTTAACATTTGTACCTAACAAGATAAATATAAGGTCATGTTAAGCATATTTGGTTTGGTTTTTAATTTTCTTTTGCTCATTTTAAGAACTCCTAAGTATTAAGCTTAATATCTTAATATTGCTACATAATAGTTTACCATGTCTACCAAAACACCCTCATATGTTAGTTTCATTCTAATCCTATATATTATTTATAGTAAATGTCTAGATTTGCATAAGGGGCATATTTATGGAATGTAGAGAGTGTCCTAATTTGCAATTTAGCAGTTTTCCATATTTAGTAATAAATTTGTGACTAACTCACATGAAATTCTCTATTTAGTAAATTTCAAATTTATCTAACTCTTGGGACTCATGTGAAAGCCTAGAACATGATTTCATATAAGCATTGATTTAGACTTTGTCATGCAATGTATGATCATACATGAAATAAAAGTTGTGCTCAAAAGTGAGTAATACATTATATTATGACAATTTAAGCACATATATGGATTTTTTTTTCATATATTTTGGAAGTGTGTAAAATTTTTCACCAAACAGCCCACCGCCACCAAAATTGCACCGAATAATATTTTATATTTAGACAAAAGTTATAATAACAAAAGTAAAAATACAACACTCAATATTGATCTTCCAGGTGGAGATCTTTCGATCCAGAATGCTTCCAGAGATCCATGTCGAGCTTCTTCAAAGCGGGATCCAGGGAAGCACAAGAAAGAGATGTGGAGAAAGGTCGAAGTGGCAGTGAAGATGGAAGAACTAGGCGGAGGTCTTCTTCCCGTGCAAGAAAGCCAACACCATCGCATGGAGAAGATGGAAGAACTAGGGGTAAATCTTTCTCACAGCATGACTCTGTCCCGGGGGTGACGAAGGTCTAATGAAAGAACTAGGCGTTCCCGGATGGATTGCAAGAAAGACGCCACCACCAAGGGAAGCATTGCATGAAGAAGATGGAAGAACTTGGCGCAAAGGTCTTCCCGGATTGCTGTAAGCCGGACACCACCAACGCAACCATCGCCGTCACCACGAGCAAAGCACTGTTTGGAAAGCCTTTGTCACGGCGGCGAGCCGGCACTGATGCCGAGCGGGATCCAGCTCGGTAGTTCACGTCCACGAATCCATTCATCACGGCCAAGATGAACAGATCGCACGTTCGTACTTGCTCGATCGGAAGTTTCTAAGTCCAGCAGTTCGCGCAACAGCACTTGCCATCGTAGCATGGTGCTCGTGGATTCGAGCGGGGCAGAGTGGATCAGTGGCGGGTGGAGGAAGTTTGCGCTGGATCACTCCTTGCTCGCGCGCGTTAGGGTTCTTCGATCTTATGGATGTAATCAGGTGATACGAGTTCATATCTAGTTTGTTTTTGGCGATGGATTGCGATGTAAAAAGGACCTATCCAGCCATTCATCGAGGGAAAACATGACAAGGCATCGAGAACTTCGGGACAGAGAAGTTCGCGATACGAGCTTCGAGCTATGGCGGTTGCTCGATCTTGCGGAGCTTGCAAGCCGCGAGCGAGGGATGGAAGGGCATGGAGTTCGATCACGCGTGTATCCGGGCTCTACGCTCTGGTCGGCCACCTGTTGATTGAAGAGGATTCCACATCTTTGTGTGTCTTTCCCGTCGGTCCCGCGAATGCGCCGCGGGGCTCTTCGAGATTCCCAGATCTGCAGCATATGCCCAGAATGGGCATCGGATCAAGCGCTCGATCTCTTCCGGCAAATGGCAGCTAACATACAGATGGCAGACACCATACGCACATGTTTTCCTTGTAACTTCTTAAATTCTTGAAAGAAAGTTCTGAATCAGGGCTAATAAAGACATCAAACCAGACTGTGTACAAGTCCCCAGGTGTTGTGCAGTGGCCTCCATAAACCACAACCTTGGCATCACTCCCTTCTAAGCTTGAAAGGTAATCCTTGACCCTCTCCCACACCTCATCGTCCTTGACAATAGCATACCCTTTGCTCCTGCAATTCGTGACAGGGATTGAGACCCTCGACTTGAGTTGCTCCTTTTCATCGCCCAGGAAGAAGACGAAAGTGGCATAGTCACAACTCACCGGCTGCTCCAATTTGGCACAACACCAGATTCATGGGGTGCTGCCCCAGATCAAGCACATCCCTCTTTTGCAGCAGGTGCCTTGACTGTAATGACCCTCGTCGTCGTCACGGGGGGAATCAGGAAAGCTATCCATCGACTTGTAGATCATCTTCCATCGACTTGTATCCTTAGGTAGTGTCTTTTCTTTTATTACCCCGTGGCCAGCCACGTGGCACAATGGGAAAACGAGGCTGAAGGAAATCTCCCATCAGCATTTGCGTTTCCTTGCTGACACCCACAAGTTTTTAAGATGAAACTTTTTACATCGTGCTTCTCCTCCGCCACTATAAGTTCCTGCAATAATCTAAATGATTGAAGCCTTACCACTACCTAATCCTTTTTAGCCTCTTCTTGTATATGAAAGACGTTCTTGAAGTTGACGAGTCTGCAACGGTTTATATCAAGTGTAAGTTGAAATTCATCCACCTGTAATTAATTGCTCCGCATGTATCTGTTGCAACTCGAAGTTCAATACCAATGTTAGATTCCAGCAGCAAAGTTTCCATTTCATGATAAGCACCCTGCCAAGGCATTTATTAATTTAAAAGCTGTGCACAGAGTGAAGAAACGAAAAAACAGGAAAGCATTTACCGCCTCGAGAACCTGTTTGGCCTGTTTAGTGTTAGTTGCCTGAATTCTTGTGTATCAAGCTACCATTTCTGGAGTTTCCACCTGCAAGGTTAAAAAAATCATACTCCACAAGGTATATGAAAAGGTATACCTCCAAAGATCCAAATCCGAATGCATTTTTACCTCGTTCACTAGAGCACAGTTACTCTTATAGCTCGACTGACAAATTGCAGTGGACCCTTAGCATGCACCTATAAATAAAATGACCATTCGTTAAGATAGAAAAAGAAGAGAAGTAAAGAAGAGAAAGAACGCTTACCTTTGCCAGTGTAACAATGATAACTCTACCGAAAGCAGGCTGAAGTATCTGAGTTAATTTGCTATCCCAAAGATCGGGACGTGATATCTTGGAACAGCATCGTTTCTGGGGAAGGACGTGACCAAAAAGCTATATGTCAAAAGGCACATACCGAGTTTCATATCCTTCACTTAGTATGTTGATTACAGTTCCGAGAGTGCCAATCTGCTGCCGAAGCGTCTCGCCCTTCACAGTGCCTTTGGAGGTTGGCTCCGGCCAGAAGAAGATTCTATCAAGGAGAAGAGCAAATAGTGGAGAACTTCCTAAACGCCATCGTCAAGCTGCACAAGGTTTGTTGCGGAGAATCCCCCCAGGGACTTTGTGGGCGTGATGCTATGTGTAGGCAGAAGATAGAGAGTTTTTTCTGCGGGTATTATACATGGAAATTTATGATTCTCGGGAGAACAGGAAATTATGAAACATTGAGAGGAGAAAGTTTCTTGCCTTGGAGAAGGTATGTGAAAAAAACCTCCATTCCTTGACTTACTGTGTTCACGATACGCTGGCCCGGCAGGCGCATGAAGAGCTTGACCGGGTCGTGAAGGAACCGCTGAGAGTCATTAGGTTAGCTTGAGGCTTGACAAGCTCTCGAGAGTTTTTCGCCTTCGTCTATCCCTCCCCCCATCCATCGAGCAAGTGGTAAAGCGAGGATTATGTTCATTCACGTGACCGAGGCGCTGGTGCCGCTACAAGTGGAAGGTGTGAAAGGTAGTTGATTGTGTGAGGCGCAAGAATTCTATTATTATCATCGTTTATTCTAGGAACTTGGCGATGTTTTCTTGGCAACATGAAAAAGAAAGGTCTTTGCATCACAAAAGCCAATTTCACTGGTTAGTATATTCTAAAGTTACCCATCTATATAAATACCCTAACTTCTCTTATGTAAACGAAGCTGCCAATGAAGAAAAGGAAGGGAGAGTTTGTGGATGTGGGGGAGAAGAAGCAAAGAATAAGGGAGTCCTCCTCCTCCCAAAAACGGTTAATGACAATAAATCTGATGAATCACCAGAAGCAAGCGGTAGCCTGGATGCTAGAGCGCGCGAGTTTAGCACCACAAAAGGTGGTATCCTTGCAGACGATCAGGGCTTGGGCAAAACCCTCTCAGCCATAGCTCTCATCGTCAAGGCGGGACCAAGGCCAAGGGGTACGGGTACCAACGTTAAGGGTGGTACGCTCATCGTTTGCCCAGTAAGTGTGATCCGGCAGTGGGAGCACGAGATCAGAACCAAGGTGGCGGCCAGTGCACCACTCTCCACACTAGTCTACCACGACCAAGGCAAACGCAAGGTGACGCTAGAGAAGCTGGCATCGTACGACGTGGTGATCACCACGTACGGAGTTGTGGCCAAGGAGCGGTGCTTGAACGTCGAAGTCTTTGACACCGGTCGTGTAGCTTGGAGGGAGCGCTCCGGTCCACTAGCCAATGTGAAGTGGCATAGGGTGGTGTTGGACGAGGCACAATCCATCCGGAATGCCTACACTGATGTCTCAATGTCTTGCATGCGTCTCTCTGCAACCTACAGATGGGGTCTTTCGGGAACGCCATTCCAAAACAACATCAAGGATCTATATGCCTTCTTTTGCTTTCTTCGAGTCAAGCCCTAGTGTAGCGATTGGAGAGCTTTTGACCAGCAGTATGAGGAGTATGAGAAGACAGGCTACTCGGCAGAACTCAAGGTGGCGCTTGAGAGCATTGTGCTGCGGCGGAGCAAGAAATCGATCATTAATGGTGAGCCAGTGCTCCGGCTGCCGCCCAGGCTGGTCAACCGGGTGGAGGTGGAGCTCTCGCAGCAGGAGAGGGAACTCTATGAAAACCTTCGAAAGGAGTACCAGGATAGGATCAGTGAGTACAGGAGCAAAGGGACGTTACACATGAACAGGTTTATCATTTTGAGCATGCTGTTGCGGCTGAGGCAAATGTGTGACCATCCGGCTCTGCTCGACAGTGAACATCTCTTTCGAGTCGACGAAGAAGATGATCTGATCACGGAGGATGGAAGTGGCCTGAAGGAGATGAGAGAGGCCGTCAGGAAGCTCCAGCTGGAGGCCCGGGAGAAGCAAGAGGATTTTGATCGCAGCGTGCAAGAGATTGGCCAGTCTGCAAAGCTGAAAGCCGCATTAAGAGTGCTCGACATGACCCCTCGGGGAGAGAAATCCCTCATCTTCTCGCAGTGGACATCAATGCTCAACCTGATCGAGCCGGAGCTGGAAGGAGCCGGGATCCAGTTCTCCAGGATCGACGGGAGCATGAGTGCGGGAAAACGAGTTGCGGCAATCAAAAGATTTAGTGAGGATCCAGATGTGGTGGTGATGTTGATATCTCTCAGGGCTGGGCTCAACCTGGTGGCCGCGTCTCATGTGCTTTTAATGGATATGTGGTGGAACCCCACGACTGAAGACCAGGCAATTGACCGGACGCACCGCATTGGTCAAACCCGGCCAGTCCACGTGACCAGGTTTGTGGTCAAACAGACTGTCCAAGAACATGTGTTGGAGATCCAGGAGAAGAAAAAGAAGCTGGTAGAATTTGTGTTTGGGGAGAAAAGCTCTGAAGAGCAGAGTCTCAGCATTGATGAACTTGCTTCAATGTTTGAGCTCCAAAATTTGGCTTGACTCAATTTTTTTAAGAATTGCATTTACTAATAGTTTGCTTCATTAACTTCATATAATATAAAAAATTATGTCTAAATATAAAAATATTATCTAATATATGTATAATACACAATCTACATCAAAAATCATTTAATAAAGAGTATAATCTAAATAAATTGCTGCGTGTTAGCAATGTTTTCTTTACATAAATATTAGTGCTTATTATTTATTAATTAAATTAATCAATTGAAAGTTTATAATGATATACATGTTAATAATTTATAAACACAAGATTAATCTTATTACATATCAACCATTAGATTTTAGAATAAAATAGAATATACTAGAAAGTGCTTAGAAAAGTTTATAAATTATAAAAACAAGATTAATTTAAATAAATAGCAACTATTAGATTGTAGAATATTCTAAATATCCAAGTATATTCTATGTATATCTGACATATTATATCAAATTAAAAAACCTATTAGAGATGTTGAAAAGATAATACTTAAGAAAGATATCTCTTACAACATCTAAAATAATTATATTAGTTACCAGTCTTAAGTAGATTAAACATAGCCAAATTTCAGTAGACAAGGCTCCCTTAAAAAACTACCATTACTTAAGGAATGAATGTAATCCTTCATTTTCAAAAGATATTATTTTTCAAAATTAAGACAAAATCCTACTTTGGGAGGAACATAGATACTCAGGCATGGGAAATATTTCATCATGTTAAGAGGATTCTCTTATAAGTCTCCATCACTTTTGCAAGAAAAAAATAAAAATAAAAAAATTCTACTCTATAGTGATTTATCATAGAATGAGCTGATTCGCACAATCCTAAAGTTAAGTATGATTTTTAGGACATTTTTACTTTGTATTTAGTCCTAAAGTTAGGACAAGTGTCTTAACTTAAGTTTAAGTTATTTTCACTAGAAAAATCCTGATTTGCACTTAATACTTTTTTAAGGTGGTTAACTTAAATTTAGGATATCACATTGAAAAGTTAAGGATCCACACCCACCCCAATCTTTAACTTTTGTAGCTAAAATTCAATTGGCATATTCTTTGGGCCAGCATGGTAGGGAGTGGGTGTGGTGCAAGATCTGGTGGTGCCATAAGATCAACTGGTGGAGCTTGTGGGCGCCGCATGATGCCCCTTCAAGCCAATGCCACAACATCTGCAGCATTAGTGGCTGTAGTAGTGGAGCCCAAGACCCCAATAAGCTTTCTTTATTCTTTTTCTCTAGATTTGCATTCCAATCAATTTAGGAAACAATCAAGAAGGATGACCTAATCTAGGTAAACAAGGAGAATGAGCAAGGACAAGTTAAGTGTAGTTGGGGAAAGAATTGGTCACATTAGGAGACTATGTTCTTTATAGACCTCAAGAGCCAAAACTTCATAAAGTAGTTAGAGTTGACAAGCTGTGAGAAAAGGGTTACAATTGCAAAGAGGTGGAACATCATTGAGGCCAAGTTGGTAGACTATGGTTTCAAGGATAGAGATGGAATGGCTTACCAATGGTGTTGGCTAAACATTTCTGATGAATACAAGAATATAAATAATTACCAAAACAAGAGTGTCAATTTCTTCACCCTTCCAAGGAGTAGATGCAAGATATTTACAAGGCTATGGATAGTTACATGGGAATTTGGGCTGCAACAAACCCTCTATATATTACAGATAGCAATGCTGACTTTAAAACTACTGTTGCAGCCATTGTTGTTGAAAGGGCAAAGGAACTTGAAAGTTGGCTTCCTCATCTACATTTTCTTCTTCCACTAAGTTGAATCATAATACTACAACATGAACTCATCCCACCAAGTTGAGCACCTAAGCTTCACCCACCAAATGCCTAGTATGCCTAGTCTATAGTTGAAAGCTACACCTAATTCCACTCAAGACTCATTATCATCTTTCAATTCATGCAAAGTGCAACATCTATCATCTAAAAACCTCTTAATACCTCAATCACTAAAAGAAGAGCCCAACTTATGATATGCCAAGTTTTATTCTCCACTCCATATGGTTCAATCTCCTCCATGTAGGGCTGGAGGATCTCTATCTCCTAGGTTTGGATCATATCCATTTCCTAGGTTCTGCATGTGGGGATTATGAAGAAGAACACATAGTGGAGGAGATATAGATGTTTGGCTAGGGTTAACACTTTGCAAGCTCTTCAAGAACCTTGACTACAATGGGCTTTTTTCCAAGTTTGCTATTGGGGAATCTATAGCTCATGAGATATAGATACAACTACTGCTATAATTCAGATACTTGGCTACAAGATCATGTTCCTAGAAAATGCAGTTCAAGTTTAGGAGGTCATTAAACAATTCTAGAGGATTATACACACAAAGCTCCTGAATGTTGTAGGTGATATTGATTGCACATATTTTGAGATTGTGCAACCCTTGACTAGTGATGGTGTGGATTACTTCGATAGGAAGTAGAGGTACAGCATCATAATACAAGCTATTTACAATGCAAGGAAGAGGCTTTTTAGCATCTACATTGGTTGGCTAGGTAAGCTTGGCTTCTAGTTTTCATTTTTAATTGCTTTTTTATATAAAAAGTGTTTATGACATGTTGGAGGAATTCAAGGTTAAGGGTGAAGATTGCAAACGGGCAACTACTGCAATAGCTAGTTACCCTGGCTTTCAATGAGCGGGTGAGGCTAGACCTCATTGGAGATAAAGGATACCAGCTTTAGTCATACTTGATATTCCCCATCTTGGTAAACTTTCAAGTTTTGGTTTAAAGATTTTATGCTTTTGGTTTTTGCAAGTGTAAACCTTGGGGTGGGTGAGAAAACCTTTAACGATCACTATTACATGGTAAGGATTATGGTTGAGCAAGCTTTCAACTTGCTTAAGTAGAGATTTTGATGCCTGGATCAGAAGCAAAAGGTACACCCCAAGTACTTCACCACTTTCATCCAAGCATATTACATTTTACATAATGTTTTCATCAACTTGGGTGAAGTAAATGTTGAGCGAGAAATAGACGCTTGAATACTAAATGTGAGCAATGGAGACTTCAGTGAGGGGTACTCTTTAATTGCTATTGCCTTTTGGTTGAGTACCCAAACCCTATTAGCATTTGATAGCTTAGGATGATGTGGCTAAGGTCTACTTTACCTTTGGGCAACATCTTTGTTTCCCTGATCATTGAATTATAAGTTTTCCAAATTTCAAATTTAAAACTGAAGGGAAGTTCAAATTTGAAATTATTCCACTTTTAAGATAAATACCATGTTTGAATGAAAGAGTTTGTTTTCTTAAAATTTAAGATAAGATTATATGTGAAGTAGATGTGTTTTTAACATAAATTTGATTTATGAGAAGTTATATATTTGAAGCAAAATTTCCTTAAATTTTATCTTAAAATGCTTAAGTAAGGACTAAATGCAAAATAACCATAATAGATAGCTTTAAGGTAGTACATAAGTTTAAGTTAGGATAAAGACTATGTACGAATGGACTCAATAACCACGGAGTGGAACTTAGACCTTTGGCTATATGTTTAAAGGCAATGGAGTGAAACTTAAGTTTCAAATTCTTGAATTATTGAACAAAGGGACAGAGTTGAACTCTAAAATATGCAACTAAAGAGTGAAAGGATTAAAGTATGGAGTGACTCTTAAGCATTCAACCCAAGAAGAAAAGCATGAATGTTAAAACATTTAACATCTCAATACCAGAACCAATATGCAAAACAAAGCTAAACAGAATTTGGCACTATTTCAATATAATAGTGGCATAACGTAATGATATAGATACTTTACTAGCTAGTATAGTATCTATATCAGTGTGGAGTTTGAGCTTAGATGCAAGATGAATATAGAATAAGGACAACACAAGTAAAAATTAGACTACTCAACCTACCCATTATCTCTATTATATATTTAGAACCTCAACAACATCACCCGCACTTTGTTCATCATAATTGCACACATTTTCTACAATTTGATGATGAACATTGAATTTTAATCTAGCCATAGCCACAAATGCTACAAAACATTAATGGTTTTTTTCTTTCATAGTTTATTTATTTTCTAGGCTTATCTTTTTTGTTGGTTAACATCTCCTCAGAACTCACTTCAAGGATAAAAGTTCTTTCTCATTGCCTTGATACACTGTCAAATATCACTAATAGAGTTCTTAGTATCCTCATCTTATACTAGATGAAATGATTCTAGACATTGTTTAGACCGATTTTACTCTTCAATTTTGGTAAATTTAATTTCTAGCTTCCCAAAGATTGCTAAAGTTTTCTATTGTTTGGTTGTAAATCTTTAGTTATAAGTGAATTCCAGCTTATAGTCTCCACTAGCATGATCAACAACATGCAATGGCTCCATGTGTTGATGCACATGAGCTGGATTTAACACTCTTAACAATTTATTCTATCCCATGTTATTGAATTTGGTGGATACAATCATAGTGTTGACCAAGAGCAAAATTCACATGTTAATGTTAATTCTCACAAGAGGCAATTAAGTCTACAACAACAAACCTCTGACAATGTTTTGTGCATAAAGATTTTAATTAGATGTAACCATTACAATATTTGAATAATAATAAAATGCTTTTGGGTTTTCTAGCACTAAGTTGGAGCATAAGGCCCACTTTTGAATCTCCTTGTAAATATTCTGTTTTTTAATTTTTTGATTAATCAAAGTCTCTTGAAATTCTATATGTTGCATTTAGAGGGAGGATCCCACCTCAATTACTAATATCACTTTGGATTAATATATAACCCAACAAAAAAGGGATGTGATGCAAATTTATTTCCAACTCCTCTTTTATATATATATATATATATATATATATATATATATATATATATATATATATATATGAGATTCTAGAGTACTTAGAGGTGCTAAACAAAGGAAATATTTATTGGAGTCCTAAAAAGGACTTTATACTTAAGCCTAATTTTTGGCTGGATGCTTTTCAGAAAAGGATTGTGAGAACCTCTAAATATGTTTCTGCTTTCTTACTTTTAAAAAAATTATAATTAAGAAAACAGCCAAAAAAAAACTTTTATAACTGCAAATAAAAATAACTGTATTAATTTTATAGTACATATTTTTTAATAAAATGTACAAGAAATAATCTTTTTTGTTGGCCAAAAAAAAATAATACTGAATAAATATATGTTGATAAAGATGTTTAACTTTATTAGGGTATAGAATAATGAAATTAATTTTATTTATAGTTTTTATTGTTTTAACTACTGTTGCTGAAAATTTTGTTTGTCTATTAGATGCATTTACATTAGAAATTATAAAATATAATACTGAATATGCATTTTGAAATAGTAATTTAATGAAATATCTTGCTATAAGCTTTGGAAAGTAAAAATTATAAAAATAAAATATTATACTTAGGAATTAAAGGTGCTTAGATCTCATTTAGTATAAAGCTTGTTGAGAGAGTATCCAAGAGCATAATTATGTATTTTATGTTATCTTCAGTATAAAAAATATTTTTTGAAAGTCACATAATATTGGTTAATACATTTAAATAGTCATCTAAAAGGTCTAATTCTTAATGTAAGTAAGTTTTCTTAATGCTTAAGCTAGCTAGATTCATGGGATTTGTTAGAATAGGCAGAGAATATTGGCCATTAAATGGTTTGCTAAAAGTGTTTGTAGCAAAGTTGAGCTAATTGGAACAATTTAAACTTATAATTAAGATGATTATTTGGAATGAAATTTCTTACAATTAATAAAGTAATACAGCTTTTGAAGCAAGGAGTTTTGCACCAAATTTATTTTCCTTTTTATTATTAATATAATTTAAAGTGTATAATTCTGGACCAAAAAGGGTGAAAAGAAAAAGGAGACACAAGCCCGCCAAAAGCTAACAGCAAAGCAGCAGGGTCCCTGAGCGAGCAATCAATGTCACATTTCCCGCTCCTGTGAGGTACAAAACCATTAAGAATGATCATTCTTATTTACGTGTCTTTGTGATACAATCACCAAGCCAAGCTTCAAGCGATTAAAAACCATAACCATCACCGGCGCGCAGTGTGACCCAGTAATAGTGACTTGGATGGGGATGGATGGGATGTTGGAGATGGTGGATGGATGGGTGGATGGATGCGGTGGGAGGGTGACGATGAATGTTATGTGTGAGTGAGTGTGTGTCAGAGGGAAAGGTGCGTGAGTGAAACTAGTAGCAGTCGCAGTCGGGCTTTGACTGACACAGCACTACGGTAAATACGAGCGTAGCTGTACAAGGGCAAAACCCAGGGAGGTCGGGTTTGATTCCAGCAGAGGGGATCTTCTCCAGGGCGAGGTGAAAAAAGAAGAAGCACAAAAGAGAGGAGAAATAAAAGAAGTGGAAGATTCGCCCAGAGCTCCATTCATTCCTTCCGCCTTTGAAGCCCAGCCCAGCCCTAAGTAGCTCTACAAGAAGCTACATTCATATCAAAACGACACCACCAATTTGTTAGAGGGCGCCCACGCAATCGGAGCAGTGGCGCGGTACTTGCCCGGGAGCCTTGATTGCGAGCTTCTAGTACCGAGTTTGAATGACTCCATGACACCCATGCATGCGTGGCATGATATGCATGGACCATGGCATGCGGAGAATATTCGTGCCTGAGGCTAGCTTTTCTTTGGATTAACGTTGCTAATGTATGCAAACCCAGTACGGCTACCTAACACCTTCCCGGGGCCAATCGCCATCGCACAAAAGCGTTGACCAAAGTGCTATGTCATGTGTCTGTTACCAATTCGGGATGCGGCCATGTATGTATCCCTGCACCTCAAGCTATGGGGTCATGTCATGCAAATGGCCATGGCATGGTGATATAATGGCGCGTATGCGTATGCCTAGTGTATTGGAACTCGAGAGGGCGTCTCGAGACGAGCGTAGGGGATGGAAAAGAGGAGGTATCTTCGTAATCTGTTAGGTGGTTATGATGCCACCCATGTGATATCCTCATATTCCATGCATAGTAAGATTCGCTTCCCATATCGAGACTCCATACGATATAGGACATACTTAATTAGATACATTTCTTCTATATCGATACACATACGTACCCCCCGGGCGTAAATGCCCTGTACAGTAGAAACACTAGGCGTCTAGGCTGCCCCCCCTGGCCGCCCGTCCCGTATGTATAGCGCATACATACGTACAAACACTGAGAGGGGGGCGTTCACTGGTAGAGAATACGCCATACATCCTGCCACCGCTTTTATACACTGAGTAACTGAACAAGCTGTTGCTGTCGCTGGGCTTGCCTACAGTAGAGAGATACGATTTGGCTACGATGCCTCCATACCTTCTACGTGTAGCGGGCCCCGTATATACATATATATAGTATTGGTTTTGAATGGACGAAAGGAAGTGTGAAGCTCGCATTCCACACGAGCGGCTGGCTGTGATACCACTGGCGGGACTCTTCTTTTGCGCTCTGTTTTCTTCTTCTTTCTTCTTCTTCTTCGTCTTCGTCTTCGCGTCTTCTTCTTCTTCCTCCTGGCATGACAACACACACTTGAGCTCGATCTTTCAGAACGTAAGATAGGAGGAAATCGAGAGCTTGCCTGGGTTATGAGAGGCTTCCTTTTGTCTCTTCTTCTCCAAACCACGCAGCGAAGAGCAACGATCGACGGCCACGGAACAGGGAAGCTCTCCTTTCTTTCTATCTCCCTCCCTCTCTCTCTCTCTTTCTCTCACTCTCTCTCTCAGTAGAGAACTTATAATCGAGTGTGTGAGGAGTGAGTGAGAGAGAGAGAGAGACTGATATCTTCCTGTGCTGCTGCTGCTCCTGCTACTGCTGTTGCATCATATCCACGCTAAGTTACTGAAACTTCCAATGTCCAAAATCTAAATCTTCTTACCATTAAAGTTCAGTTGGATTTTCCTCGGCGCGACCATGCTGCTGCTGCTGCTTTTGCTGCTCCTCTCTTCCTTCTGTCTCTAGTTATCGTCTGTGCAGGCAGCAATGTGATGTAGTTCCAAGAGGAGCTTCTCATCCAGACCATCGCTCCTGCAACAATTTGTGAATCACAGCAGGCTAATATAGATCATCCAGAGGCTCAGAAGAGGAGGAAAATCAGCTGGGAGTTCGTTCTTACAAGGCAAAGCATACAGGCAAGTAGAGTTTCTAGTCTCGGGAAATTTGTTACAATACTGGCAAAGAGTGACACACGAAAGCAGCTCTCCATGATCAAGAGATAGAAGACGAAGAAGAAGAAGGAGGAGAGGAGAGTCCTAATCCAATCCATGGCTGCCGACTGCACTGCAATCATCCCATTCGATGAGGCAGGCGAGGGCAGCGAGCGGCCGCGGGAGTACCGCAAAGGCAACTGGACGTTTCACGAGACGATGATCCTCATCACGGCCAAGAAGCTGGACGACGAGCGGCGGGCCAAAGGTGGTGACAAGCGCGGCAAGTGCGCCGAGTACAGATGGAAATGGGTGGAGAACTACTGCTGGAAGAACGGGTGCCAGAGGAGCCAGAACCAGTGCAACGACAAATGGGACAACTTGCTACGCGACTACAAGAAGGTGCGGGACTACGAGACCAAGATCCAGCCGGGGCAGCAATCCTACTGGCAGCTGGAGAAGCACGAGAGAAAGGAACGGGGCTTACCTTCAAGCCTCATGATCCAAATCTATGATGCGCTCCACGACATTGTTGACAAGCGACTTCCATCGTCCTCGTCGCGTTTGATGGCCGCGTCCGATAAAGCGCACACCACGTCTTATCTCCCACTGCCACCGCAGTCAACAGGTGAGCTTCTGGTCTCTCTTTCTCTGCTTTACGAAACTTTTCTTGCCTTGTGGATCAGAGGAGCTGCCTGCCTGCCTGGCTGACTGCAATTAAATGAAGTGAGACAAGAAAGAATGACAGAAGAAAAAGAGATTTTTACAGCTTACCAGGCATAAAAATGTGATTGTTTGCTTTATTCTTTGCTGGCAGCGTCGAGGAGCTCCGGAAGCAGCGAGCAGCTCGGGGATCCAAAGTCCCCGGCGAAGAAGCGGAAGTCGTCGTCAAGAGATCACCACCAGCAGGATGTGGAGGGCCTGGCGCCGGCGGTGGCGAGGAGCGCCTCGGATCTGTCTCACACTCTTATGCAGTGCGAGGAGAAGAAAGATCGGCGGCACAAGGACCTGCTGAGCGTCGAGGAGAGGAAGCTGATGCTGGAGGAGACCAAGACGGAGATCAGCCGGCAAGGGATCGAGGGGCTCGTCGGTGCCGTCAACAATCTGGCCAATGCGATCCTCACTCTGGCCTCGGAGAGAGGGGGCTCGGGGGAGTGATATCGGACTGAACAAACAAAACCAACATCCCAAGTAAGAACCAAAAACTCATCTCTCACCTCTCTCACTCAAATCATCTCTCCTCTCTCTCTCTCCCCTCTTACCATATAAATGTTCCGAGAGATATATAAATCATTCGCACCCCGAGCCATTGGAAGTTTCTTGAATGATGAACTCTGTCGTTTGGCAGCATGTTGTTCCGAGTCCTGAAACAGTCTAATCACGAGTGAAATCGAAAACAAATCATCAAAGAGAGATACCAACGTACCTCTCATTAGTATTAAGTAACACATAAGTGGTCGCCTGGGAAGCGAGCTAGAAACGCGAAAAGAGACGAGAATAACAGACAATACACAACAATTCATTGAAAAGTTAGAAGCCAAGTATGCATACACTGGTTCGCTTGCTTCTCTTCTTCTTACTCTTTAAACTTCTTTTCCTTCTTCTGGATCTTCTTTCTTCCTTCTCTCTTGTATGCAAACAAATTGTAACATAAACAGGATACAGTCCATCGCCTGTGCCTCTGCTTGCTGCATAGCGTTGCCGAGTTAGCGGTGTACTTAATACAACAAAGTTAATACGGTCTGTAACGCGTTTCCATTCGGGAAGGACGGTGACCAGCATCACCATAAAGCCACTGCAAGAAGAACAAAACCAATGGATCAAGCATCCAAGTGAAAGAGAGGAGGAAAAGATTCTTCTTTTTCCATTACTTACCGCTCCATTGTAGTCGTACCCGCCGAGGCCGTAAGCACTTCCAGCAATGGCGGACGCACCGCGCATAGGACCACCTGCGCCTTGTAGAATGGACGAGGGTCCCATGTAGGAGGCGGTACCACTTCCAGCACCAGCTTCATCTTGCGGAGTGGCACGGTCCACTGCTATCTGCGCAGACGAGATCGCTAATTGAGCTACAAGACGACTGGAAAAAAGAAACCGCAAGTACCTGGACCCCGAGTAACTCATGTGATCTCAGAGCGACACGGTCAGCGACACTTTCATCTGCAAAAGTGACAAACCCGAAGCCACGGTGTGAAAGCTTCTTGGCGTCCTGCACAAGAGTACCAAGAGTTAGGAACACAGAACGGGAAAGAGAAAAACAGAAGGTGGGGCTACCTTGGGAACGTAGACGTCGAGAAGTCGGCCAAAGTTGCCAAAGTACCGCCGGAGGTCCTCGGCTGTCGCGTCCAGTGGCAGCCGGCCGACGAATATCTTCTTCCCAATGCCGCGGTTCTGAGACGATGAGATGTTCATCGGTGCCGATACAGGGCCTGCGGGGCCTCCCATCATATTTGCTGGAGGGGGCGCGGGTGACGACCACAGTCCCGCACCATACGCTCCTCCAATACCCGATCCAGCAATCTCAGTTGCAAGGGCCGGAGGGTAGTCGTAAGCTCCAAATGCCGACGATCCAAAGTGCGTTCCGAAGGCTCCAAAGCGAGCCGCAGCATTTGTGTAAATGCCATAAGGACCATAAATGCTAGGATAGGATTTCCCCCAAAACTTCATTGTTTCTTCCTGTAAGACACATATAAGAAACGAGAGAAGAAATGTACATGCCTGACCTTGGGAGTTGCCCGATCCACGGCTATGGTTGATCCCGCAAGTTCGTGAGTTTTACCCATGAGCTTTTCCACGGAGTCTTTGAACAGAAGAAGAAGCGAGTGAGATGCTTGGATCGAAGTGCAGAGCAGTGGAAAACTACCTGGGTCTTCATACGTAACAAATCCAATACCTCGATGAGCTTTTGAACCTTGGTCCTGAAAGAAATTTCGTCCATGAGAACTATAGCAGGACTCCTGCAAAGGCATACCTTGGGCATGTAGGCGTCAGTTATCCGTCCATACTTTTCGAAATAGCTGAGAAGAGAGCAACAGGTTCAAAGTCATGCTTTTGAGGTATTAAGGTGTGGACTTACTTTCGAAATGTGTCGTCGTTGACACTCGGTGGTATTCTGGCAACAAACACCCTTGTAACCTTCGGCTTTAACATCTCTTCCTGTGAAAACAACGATACACTCACACAATGACGCATACAAACCCAGCAAACCTTGGGTGTCGCAACTTTCACCTCCAGAATCCGGCCACTTAACGAATGCTGAGCCAAGAGCGCTTTCTGCAACAAGGAAGTGTTAAGCGAGCACAACCAAAAACTCCATTTCTCTCACCTCAGCATCTTCCGAAGATGTAAACGTGACATAGCCAAACCCACGGGACCGTCCTGTCGAGCGATCCTGTTATGAGATAAGAAAAACTTCAGTGTTTCGGTTTCCATGAGAAAAAGGGACTAACCTTCATAACAATAACATCGTCGAGACCACCAAACTTTGTCATGTAAGATCGCAGGCCCTCGGTATCCACGTCCCAAGGGATTCCAAGAACCTTAAAGACCACGGTTAAGTCTCACAAATAATGTCGCTAGACAAAGAGGAAGAACACAAAAACCAAGGCAAAAAAAGTAGCTTACCACAAGCTTGCGATTCCCCAGAGACATGCTAATGCCACCGGCCATGGAAGATTTCTCGTCGCCGAAGAGATGACCTTACGACTCTCCCTCTTCCTCTCAAACACACCTCACTCACTGGCTTGGCATATCATCCCCACTCTCCTCTCGCTCTCTTCTTCTTCCCTGGAAATCCCGCTTGCATCACAATACCGTCATTAACATGAAATCGCAAATCCAAGCAGCCAGCAGCATCCAATCCAGCACATCTCATCACCGGCAGCTGCGAATCCGGGGCGCCGCGGCGGCGCCACAGCAGCGCCATAGCCATAAACCCTAGAACACTGGCAGCGCAGGCAAAGCAGGAAGAAATTTCTAAGCAGCTAGAAGAGGAACGAGGCATTCATCCACGAAAGCTGTGCGATTTGCTCTTACATACACAGCCAGCCTGATCGATCATCGTTCTAGGACGACGCTTCCACTCATGATCATCACTCCTCTCTCCATCGCGCCTGGCGCCATAGCCACTCCTCCATTGCGCAGCTACTAGTGGTTTAGTACTGCGAGATTCGCATCTGCCCAGAGAATATGCCCATGCCCTAAAACTGTAAAGAGCTCTAGTGGACGGCCGGGATTGCCCTAGAGCGGCGCTGGTGGAGGAGAGATCACAAAGGCCGGCCAGTCGAGGCGAGGGCTATCGAGCGATCGCGGCCGAGGCCGCCATCGCGGCTCCAGGAGCTGCCAAGGTAAGCGGGAATTCGTTGATGCGGCTGCGCGAGTGATCGAGGACGATGCCGGCGCTTCTCAAGTACTCGGCGGAGCTCCGCGATGGAATCCCGGTGCTCTACGGCTCCAATGGATTCCCGTTGAAGTGTTCCAGGTTTGAGCCGGCAGGGCATTCCTTCCATGCCGCGGCGCTCAAGCTGCTAGGGCTTGGGGCCGCCATCGCGGAGGACGACGACGACGACGATGAAATATTGGGCTCCAAGAACGAGTTTGGGGATTCGTACTATGCCAAGGGGAAGAAGAAGGTCGGCGGATCGGAGCAGCAGGATCACTACGCGCTGCTGGGGCTGAGCCATCTCCGGTTTCTAGCCAGCGAGGAGCAAATTCGTAAGGCGTACAGGGAGGTCGCGCTCAAGCACCACCCGGACAAGCAGGCTGCGCTTATTCTCCTGGAAGATGGCGAGGACGCTAGAGAGGCCAAGAAGCAGGAGATTGATGCCCACTTCAAGGCGATCCAGGAGGCTTACGAGGTGCTCGTCGATCCTGTCAAGAGGAGGGCCTACGATTCCGTGGACGAGTTTGACGACGAGGTTCCATCGGATTGCGCGGTCGAGAGTTTCTTCCAGGTTTATGGGCCGGTGTTCTTGAGGAATGGACGGTGGTCGGTGATCCAACCGGTGCCAGAGCTCGGGCAGATGACCAGCTCGATGGCGGAGGTGGACAAGTTCTACGATTTCTGGTTTTCGTTTAAGAGCTGGAGGGAGTTCCCACACGCGGACGAGTTTGAGGTGGAGCAAGCCGAGGGGCGGGAGCACAGGAGGTGGATGGAGAGGCAGAACCTCAAGCTTCGCGAGAAGGCAAAGAAGGAGGAGTCCGCGAGAGTGAGGACCTTGGTGGAGAATGCGTACAAACGGGACCCCAGGATCATACGTAGACGGGAGGACGAGAAGGCCGCGAAGTTGATGAAGAAGCAAGCAAAGCTTCTGGCCAAGAAGGAGAAGGAGGACCAGGCGGCCAAGGCTCTGGAGGAGGAGAGGTTGCGGAAGGAGGAGGAGGAGAAGCGTCTAGCGGAGGAAGCGGCGGCGCAGAAAAAGCTCAAGGAGAAGGAGAAGAAGCTGGTCCGAAAGGAGAGGTCGAGGCTGCGGAGTCTTGCGGCCGGGGTGGTGTCCAGCAAGGCGTTTGCAACGAAGGAGGAGGACGTCGAGGCGTTGTGCTCGAAGCTCGACTTGGCGCAGCTGAAAGCTTTGTGCGAGAAGCTGGAAGGCTGCGGTGGATCCATGACCGACGTTGGCTCGGCTCTCTCGGCGGCACTGGACGGGGCCGAGGGCGAGAGTAATGATCCCGCGGACGAAGATAAAAATGCGCAAGCTCCCGTGTTGATGGAAGAGAAGAAGGAGAAGGAGCGGCCGTGGACGAGGGAAGAAGTCGATTTGCTCCGCAAGGCGATGGCCAAGTATCCGAAAGGAACGTCACAGCGCTGGGAAGTCGTCAGTAACTACATCGGCACCGGCAGATCGGTGGAGGAGATACTCAAGGCGATCAAGACGGTGCTCCTGCAAAAGCCCGACTCCTCCAAGGCGTTTGATACGTTCTTGCAAAAGAGGAAGGCGCCGAGCTCCATAGCTTCGCCGCTGTCCACCAGGGCGGAGGAGGGGACAGAGCTGCCGGGCCAGGAGAATGGAGCAAGCGCCGCCCGCGTCCCTGAAAGTGGCGAGAAGGAGAAGGATAAAGAGCCGAGCTTGGCGAACGGGAAGACGAGCGTAGCAGAGGATGGTGGTGGTGGCGAGCAGGACGCCTGGAGTGAGACGCAAGAGCTAGCGCTCGTCAAGGCTCTCAAGACGTTCCCAAAGGAGACTGCGCAGAGGTGGGAGAGGATCGCCGCGGCTGTCCCTGGGAAGAGCAAAGCGCAGTGCTTCAAGAAGTTTGCTGCGCTACGCGAGAACTTCCGGTCCAAGAAGTAAGCTTGGTTTCGAGGATGATTCTTTGGTTGTGTTTTTAACACCAGAGTCCTACCATTCTTTGCCTTGTCGGAACAAGGAAGAATAAGCTCTTTATATTTTTGTAGGCCAGACTGGAGAGAAACGTACCGCTTGTATCGACGACTTTCAATAGCTAAGTTGGTATTCATATGCTTAAAGAGTAACCAGCAGGGATCGGTCTAGCTCGTTGGAAGCAACCATCTCCGAGAGCTAGCCATCACCGCTTGAACCCAGGGAAAAAGGAAAAAGATATCTGGAGCTGAGATTGAGGATTTTCAGCTCGCCGCCTCCAAACGCAGCACTTGGATCCCTCTTAATTCATAGCTTAGTAGCAGCTTAGACCGCAAACCAGCCATCGGGATCGTCACGATACGCCAAGCTTGAAGTGGACCCAAGGATCAGCCACCAAAACCAAGACGGGAGCAAGAGTTCTACCATTCTTTGCCTCGTCAACAAGGAAGAAAAGCTTCTCTTTTATATTTTTGTAGGCCAGAGAAACGTACCTCTTGTATCGACGACTTTCAATAGCTAAGTTGGTTATCTTATGCTTAGAGAGTGATGTACTTGAGCACAGCACCGCGGATCTTTGTCATGAAGTCTGCCGCTTCTTTCTGGAAAAACGCGCACGATCAGTGGAAAAATCGAGTTTTGGAAAGGCTTGCCTGTCCAGCAGATCTTGCAGTGACAATGTTTTGATCCAGGAGAACTAGGAGAGATCGGTCTAGCTCGTTGGATGCAACCATCTCCAGCAGCTGAAATTCTGAGAGTTAGATTGGCGATGGCGATGAATGCTAACAGGTTACTGTGGCTTTCTTGTCTTTCGAGGCAAATATCCTTGCGACTCTTTCCTTGGCTTGGACTAGATCCGTAGCAAGCCTATCATATGCTTCTGCATTGAGCACGCGATTTAGATCACGGAAATAGAGGAGAGAAAAAACAGTTCTTTCTTTACCAATGCCTTCCGTTAAAACTTTTTGGAGTGCCTCTAGCTCCACGAGCCTATCCTCAATGTCCTGATAACGATACAATGATACAATGATACAATGATTTGTGCTTAGCCAGGTACCTGAGTTCTATTGATTTTAAACTTCAAGGAAGCTATCTCCGTGTTTAAAAAGGAAAGGAACGAATCCGTTAATCTGTGGAAGAGAAAAGAAAAAGTTAGAACAAAGAATCACGCTTGAAACGCTTTGCACCTGAGTCTACATCGAGCAATCTCAAACTCGATCTCTTGCGCTTGAGTCTCAAGGAAAAATTCGATCAGCCCAGCATCACTCTCTGGAACAACTCGAGCCTAGATAGAGATTACTTAAACCCGGACTAGCAAAGTTTTCTTAATTACCTCTCGAGCAGCTCTTTGTCGATCCAATTGGCGCTGTGTCTCTTGCCTCGCAATCTCATCCTGCTCGGCATCGCTGCTGAGCTTCTTTTGGATCATCCGCCGCGTAATGTGGCCAGTCTGCGGCGCTCCAAACAGGTTCTCGGGATCCTAGGGTTTGATCGATGAGATTTCACCTCATTCTCCATCAAAAACATACCCAAACCACTCGCGCAGTCGACCCAATTCTAGAATTTCGACCTCTCCTCGCCTGGAATTCGTGAGCGCCGACGCGCAGCCCATTCCCATACCGCAATGGCGTCCATTGGCGCGCAACGAAGCTCTGTAGGACGAGCATTTTGGTGTGTTCTATCTAGCTCGAGCTAAGTGGATGCCGCGTCAGCAAAACCGCGTCCAATTGCCAACCGCCACGTGCCTATCTATATATTATACAGGAATTAGGTTTAGGGCGAGTGGCATTGTTTTTCTAGGGTTTTGATGCGTAAGAGCGCTCGATTCGATCGGGATAAGGCTGCTCTTTCCAGCCTTGCGCTCCGCGCCGTTTGATCTCTCAGGGCTGTGGCGCCAGCAGCAGCAATCCTCGCATGATATTCGGATCGAGCAGCCGTAAGTTTCTACATTCCAGTCGCTAGTGTCTCTGGAAATTCGCTCACTCTCTCCATTTCTCAGCCTTTGGGGCTTCTAGTCCCAGCCTCTTTGGCGGAGCGTCGGCTTCGTCCAGTCCGTTTGGCTCCACAACATCCACATCTCCGTTTGGGATGAACTCCGCGGCGACGAATCCATTTGCTGCCAAGCCATTTGGGAGTCCTACCTTTGGGCAGCAGACTGGCGGACTGTTTGGAAGTGGGACTGCTACCGGTGTGTTTGGTGCTTCCCAGGCAGCGCCATTTGGCTCGAGCTCCCCTGCATTTGGCTCGGCTACTGCGTCTCCCTTTGGCAACACACAATCAGCGTTTGGAGCCAGTGGTATGTGATCGGTCTATGTTTTCTCGTGCTTTGCTAACATCTCTACTTTGGTTTTCACTGTGTTTTAGGAAGCCCTGTGTTCGGACAAATTGGACAGAAGCCAGCTTCGCCTTTTGGATCGTTTGGGAATACCTCGTCTCCCTCGAATCCATTTGCAGCTCCCGCGTTTGGGCAAACACAAGCATCTTTTGGGACACAACAGCTGCCTACTTTTGGTGCTAGTCAACCAGCTTTCGGAGCGAGCTCGACACCGGCCTTTGGATCGACGTCTGCGTTCAGTAGCCAGCCGGCTGCAAGCTTTGGAAATCCATTTGGAGCCACGAGCTCGGCCTTTGGAAGCAGCACTCCAGTGTTTGGCCAGTCGGCTCCTGCCTTTGGGACAGCTTCGTCTCCCGCTTTTGGCTCGACTCCTGCAGGTTTTGGCACCGGTGGTTTCAATTCTCAGCCTACTTCTGCTTTTGGTAAGTTTTCCAGAGTGTTTTTGGTTGCTCTAACATGAGGTCCTCGCAGGGTCCACAATTTCATTTGGTGCTCGGCCTGGAAGCCGGGCAATCCCCTACGTTCCAAAGACCGAAATTGATGGATCCGCGACTTTGAAACTGTATTCGATCTCTGCTATAGAGGGATACCACAACAAAAGTCACGAGGAACTGCGATGGGAGGATTATCAGGCTGGAGACAAGGGTGGGTTTCTGGTTTTCATTCTTGATTGCTCACTAATTCTTTTGCGGTTTAGGTGGCCCGGCACCGAATAATACTGGGGTTTTTGGTCAGCCTTCAAGCAGCAGCCCATTCGGGTCATCATCTCTTACTCCAAGCGTAAATCCATTTGGTGCTTCAAGCTCTTTTTCCCAGCAACAAAAGCCTCAAACTAGTTTTCCGTCTTTTTCGACTACTTCCACTCCTACATTCGGTTCGTCACCTTCTATTTTCAATTCTGTGAGCGCTCCGGCCATTAGCAGCGCTCCCAGTTTTGGAACTTTCAACAGCTCCCCCTCCTTGTTTAATACCCAGTCGGCGTTCAGTACTCCCTCGAGTACACCAGCATTTGGAAATAGTTCGTTTGGTGTCCAACAAGCTCCTATATTTCCATCGCCACAAACAACGCAACCAGTTTTCGGGCAGTCTTCTGCCCCCATCTTTGGAAGTTCAAACTCTAGTAGCCTTTTCAACAACATGAGCCAACCCAAACCTGCTGGCGCCCCAAGTGTAAGTCTAATATCTTTGTGTGCTTTGTTTTCCTTATTGATGATAGATTTGTCTTCAGTTCTTTCCTTCATCTCAACCCAACACGACGTCATTCTCTTTTCCATCCCAGACCCAACCGCAAGGTATGATTCTTGATATTTACTGTTACAAACAACTGACACTTTTATTTTCAGGATTATTCCAAAGCACGCCCAGTTTGACACCCTTTGCACCTCCGTAAGTAGCTTTGAAAGAAATAAAATTTTCTTCTCTTTCTTCTCTTACATGTTTAATTTCAGGACCATTTCAACTACAATGGCTCCCATGCCTGCTCCTGTAAGTGCGCCATTTGGAACATTGCCGGCTATGCCGCAGATGTCTATCGGGCGAGCGGCAGGATCAAATCCAACTGTTCAATATGGAATATCGAGTATACCTGTAAGTTTCTTGAACTTCTCTTGGAAGAACGCTGACGAAGATGAACTATGATTTGCAGGTGTCAGACAGGCCGGCGCAAATACATTCTAATTCCCTACTCATCCCAAGACACATCACGCCCAGATCAAAAATCAGGATGCATGCGAGAAAATCCAATGCAAAGAAGGACTCTCCGAAGGTATCCTTTTTCAGTGAAGGTGAAGAAGCACCAGTGACTCCGAAGGCAGATGTATCTATTATTCCACGAGAGAATCCACGTGCGTTGTTTATACATCAAGTGAACCAGGCCCCTGTGACTGCAGTGGCTGCTAAGCGAGCACCTGATATCGTGAATTTGGAGCACAGTGAAGGTAGCTTTTACTCGTCAGTATCTTTTTCCTAACATGTTTGCTTGATTGACAGATTTATATAACGAACCGAAATCTTTTCCTGTTGTTGGCGACGATTCATTGCCACCGGATATGTCAGGTTCGAAGCTTTCTTCCGTCGTATGTAACATGGAGCTGATTGTTTTTCTCTACAGGACTTGATTGGTCTATTCCAAGTACTACAGATGGTCTGCAAGCCGCCCCTCCTAAAAAGGTTTCGTCTAAGTCTCCATCAAAGCAGAATGGTGTTCGAGAAGAACTCAACCACAGGGGTAATGGATACATATCCCTGACGGGTCACAGGGCTGGAGAAGCAGCTATAGCTTATGAACATGGGGCTGATATCGAAGCTTTGATGCCGAAACTCAAACACTCTGATTATTATACGGAACCGAGGGTGCAAGAGCTGGCAGCTAAAGAGCGTGCAGAACCAGGATACTGCCGGCGAGTGTCTGATTTTATAGTTGGCCGAAAAGGATATGGTCACATCAAATTTCTTGGAGAGACAGATGTCAGACGTCTTGATATCGAAGGGATCATCCAGTTCAACAAGTGTGAAGTGCTGGTCTATATGGATGAGAGTAAGAAGCCTCCTCTCGGACAGGGATTGAACAAGCCTGCGGAGGTCACTCTTTTAAATGTCATGTGCATTGACAAATCTACTGGACGCAGCGTCACAGATGGGGCACAAGCGGAACGGTTTGAAAAGAAGTTGAAGAAGAAAACTCAAGCGCAGGGTGCAGAGTTCGTTTCTTTTGATGTCTTGAAAGGTGAATGGACATTTCGAGTGAAGCACTTCAGCCGTTATGCTTTTGATGAGTCGGAGGACTCGGAGGACGATGCTTTGGAATCTGGAAAACTGGTTCCCGCTGTTATGGATATGATGGAAGGGGTCGAGGATGAGGCTGCTTACAGGGAAAATGGCGCAGAGGTATTTCTGGAATCGCGAGGTCCGTCTTCTGTGGACGAAGGAGAAGAAGAGCTCATGGAGGATGTGAGATCAAGGAACCATAGGACAGCTCTGCCTCATTCATTGCCCGCGCAGCTTAAACTGGATCCATTGAAGTTGCACCAGCTCAAAGCATCGTTCTTTCCTCTGGATGAAAACGAGTCGGCAGAAATGACTGACGTTGGTACCTACAAGAAATCAACTCCGCCGTCGGTTATCAAGCAGTACAAGTCCAGTTTGGAAGAAGGCGAGTTAAAACGTCCATCGAAGCAGATAAAGCTGAGTCCTCATTCACTATGGCAACGGTCACCAATGCTTCTGCCGCAGCAATCGTCCTTCCAGGCTCTTACTGCTCCAACGCCATCACTGGTGAAGACTTCGAGAAAGCTAACGTCTGGTTTCCGGCTTCAGGAATCTGACAGCGAAAAACTTTTGTCCACGAGCAATTCGGGTGGTGGTGTTGTCGATGCTGCACTTTTCATGGGGACCTCTTTCCGTGCCGGTTGGGGTCCAAACGGAGTGTTGGTACATTCTGGTTCCTCTGTGGGCCAGTCCAAAGCGACTACGGTGGTTTCGTCCTCCATAAAACTTGAGACGGTTTCTCTCGACAGAACTGCAAGAGACGATCGAGGTAAAGTCAAGGATATCCTTCTTGATTTTCAGTTTAATGCTCCTCTCGCGCTGCACATGTCCCTGAGCAAGGTTGTGAGCGAAAGTAACGGCTTGAAGATGCGGAGCTTGGTTTGTAGCAAGGATCAGCTGGAAAGGCTCACCAACGACTACGAGGACCTGATCGAAAAGCAGCATGGTACTCCAGGTGTATCCGCAGCTGATCAGCTGGTTTTAAAGCATCAGGTGCTGGCATGGCAGCTCATCTGTGTTCTCTTCTCGGAGAAGGATGCTCTGGTCACCGAAACGGAAGAGGCTTCAGAAAGCATGGCTGAGATGAAAGCCCGTATAGCGAACATCGATCCGGGAACTGAAACTCTAGTGCGCAAGGCTGCATTTAGTGGCTGGCTACAGGACAGCGTCTTTCATCTGGTCCAGGCCGACTTAGACTCAACCGGGAAGGACGCGAGCCATATCAGGGATATAATGGTCTTATTAACTGGCAAACAGGTGGAGCTGGGTGTGAGAAAGGCCATCCTTGCAGGGGACGTTCGTTTGGCGTGCCTGCTGAGCCAGGGCGGTGGACTGGTGGCAAACAGGGAGGACATCTTGTCGCAGTTGGAGGTCTGGGAGTCGGAGGGACTTTGCGACGGTCTCATCGAAAATGACAGGATATCGCTGTTCAGGCTGCTTGGAGGAGATATCCACGGTTCTCTCGGCGATCAAGAGATTGACTGGAAGCGCTTCATGGGGATGTTGATGTGGTACACGCTGCCTCCTGAGGCTGGGCTTCCGGACATCATCCTCGAGTTTCAACGTCTTGTTGAGGAGGGAGACGCGTTTAAGCCGGTTCCCATGTACATTGAAGAAGCACCAGTGGAGGTCAAGGAAGCTCCAGCACCACCGCCGGCCTATGACAGCGCTTACTATCTCATGCTTTTGCATGCGAGAGGGAGCCTTGACGAATCAGATGTGAACAAGATGTTTTCCTCCTCGGCATCTACATTTGATCGTCTGGATCACCGGGCCGCTTGGCATCAGAAGGAAGTTCTCCAGGCAATCGGCGTTTTGAATCAGTCGGATTCCTACGCGCTGGACATGAGTTTTGTCTCACAGCTTCTTGCCGCCAACTTGATACATTGGGCAATTTACGTGGTACTCCATATGCCAGTGTGCCCGGAAACTACAGGTTTGCACGAGAAGGTGGTCAAGGATATACTGAGCCAGTACTCTGAAGTTTGGAGCAACTCGGAGGTTCAGCAGAAGTTTATAGAGGACGAACTCGGTATTCCACCGGAGTGGCTGCACGAGACTTTGGTAAGCTATGTGGGCTCAGTGCGTGTTCTTCTGACTCTTAGGATGTTTTTTCAGGCTATCTACTGGCTGTACCGGGGAGACTTTGAGAAGAGCCTTGTGCATTACCTCAAAAGCTTTATGTGGCAAGAGGCTCACGTCGTGTTTATGACCAAGGTGTCCGCATCTTTGCTGCTAAATGGTAAGCAATTGGTTTTTGGTAGGCTATGGTCATCACCACTTGAACGCAGGGAAAAAGGAAGAGATTTGGAGCTACGCGAGCCAGATGGATGCGCATAAAATGGAGATCGAGAACTGGGACATTGGCTCCGGCTTGTACATAGACTTCTTTACTCTCCTGGGGTCCTTCGAGAACAGCGAGGCTTATGATACAGAGCTGGTACGTTCTTTCTAAAACCAATCTCGGTTCCACATTCTAAAGGCTGGTATTTCCTTCGTTTTGTAGGAATCTCCTGTGGAAGCCAAGATGTGTGCGTGCAAGGACTTCTTCGAGAGGCTCAAGGAGTCGCAACGATTGTGGGAAGCTAAAGCTTCGAAGCTACTGAGGTATAGTTCGTGTAGATTTTGTTTTTCTTCTCTTCGAGTGAGACTAATCGATCTTGTTAGCAGGCTTGCGTTGACGAGGATGGCCGATGAAGTGGCGGCGCTCCTGGTGAGCGAGAGCAAAGTTAAGCGCGTGGATGCGTCACTGGAGATGGAAATCCAGAGCGTCGCGATGGAGGCTGGAAGTCCCGAAGACGTCCAGCTTTGCCGCCTCCAAGGAGCCGTGTCAAGCTTCTCCAACTGGATCGTCCAAATCGCCGCGTGAAAGTTTGCCTGTGTGTTACAAATAAATGTGTGTGAAAGAAAAGAAAGATTCTTCCCGTGTGTAATGGTATATTCTCTAGGGTTCTTGGGTCGATAATAAAAGGGTCCCATTTTCTTGCGTGGAATATTTCTAGGGTTCTTGGGCAAGGACAGGATGTTGGAACAGCTCTTGATCTTCACGCGCGGCGGCCTCATCCTGTGGAGCTGCAAGGAGATCGGCAACGCGCTCAAGGGATCGCCGATCGACACGCTGATCCGGTCGTGCCTGCTCGAGGAGCGCAGCGGCGATCGATCCTTCCGCTACGATGCCCCAGGTGCGTCCTACACGCTCAAGTGGACGTTCCAGAACGAGCTGGGGCTCGTGTTCGTGGCCGTCTACCAGCAATTCTTGCAGCTCCTCTATGTTGACGAGCTGCTGGCCATGGTGAAGCGCGAATTCTCGGCGGTGTATTCTCCCCGGAAGGCCTCGTATCGGGACTTCGATGAGGTGTATCGGCAGCTCGAGAAGGAGGCGCTGGCTCGCGGCGAGGCCAACAAGGGACTTAACAAGGCAAACAGGAAGATCGAGGATGGAAGCAGCAAGAACACCGATCTGCGAGGGGGAACTGTGCTTCGCGGGTCGGTCAAGGGATCGGCAGGGACAAAGGGGCAAAAGGATGGGAAAGAGGATGACAGTGCTGCTGATCACAAGCCTGCCGCTGTTGTGGAGAAGGCTGGCCACGAGAATGGAGTGACAAATGGGAAATTGAGCAGCAGCGATGAGGAGTCCAAGCCGGTGGAGGTGGCCTTCGATCGGAGCAAGCTCCAGAAGCTGAAAGCGAAGGGGGGAAAGAAGACCAACGCTGCGAAGAAGGAGAAGGAGGATCCCAAGAAGAAAGTGAAGCAGGATAGAAAGCCGTGGGACGCTCCAGCGACTGGGAAGCTGGACTACTCCGAGCCTGTTCGTGACACCAACGACGAGGAGGTTGTGGAGGTTCACGGGAAAAGTTTGGTGGACTACGAGGAGGACGAGGAGTCCGATGACGAGGAGGCGAAGGACGAGAAGGCTCCTGCCAAGAAAGGATGGTTTTCGAGCGTTTTCCAGAGGTACTTTTCTTTAGTTTGCCGACACTGCTAGAGACTTTATGTTTCTCGATTTTTGTTTTTCTTGCGCAGCGTCACTGGGAAGGCGGCTCTTGAGAAGGCGGATTTGGTGCCCGCGATGAAGGCGCTGAAAGATCGTCTAATGACCAAGAATGTGGTACGTATGTTTTACGTTCTTGGGTTGTATACTCGGCAACTTTGCTTTGGCAGGCTGAAGAGATTGCTGAAAAGATATGCGAGTCTGTTGCTGCAAGTCTTCTCGGCAAGAAGCTTGGAACGTTTACTCGAGTATCATCCGCTGTAAAGGTGCGTTTGCGTTGAAAGTCTTGGCTCCATCGAGCGCTTTAACTTTGTTTGTTTACTCAGGAGGCGATGGGAGACGCTTTACTGCGAATACTAACTCCAAAGCGTTCCATTGACATCCTGAGAGATGTAAAGTCGGCAAAGGACGAAGGTCGCCCCTATGTGATCGTATTTGTGGGAGTTAATGGAGTGGGGAAATCTACAAGTCTTGCCAAGGTTCTGCCATTGTTGTATTTGCTACTTGACTAATGCTTGCTCGTTACCAGGTGGCTTATTGGCTTAAAAGCCACGAACTGAGTGTCTTGATAGCCGCATGCGACACATTTCGTTCGGGAGCTGTGGAGCAGCTCCGTACTCACGCCAAAAGGCTCCAAACTACGCTGTACGAGAAAGGATACGAAAAAGATCCAGCAAATGTGGCCCGGGAGGCAATCGCCACAGCTGCTAAAACTAAGCACGACGTTGTGCTGGTTGATACTGCAGGTCGAATGCAGGCAAGTTTTTCAAAGCTTTGCTTCTCGTTGTTTTCTTTGCGTTCTTACAATACATATGTTTTTTTCTTCCAGGATAACGAGCCTCTTATGAGGGCCCTTGCGAATCTGATCAACGTAAACAAGCCAGATCTGGTGCTCTTTGTCGGAGAAGCGCTTGTGGGCAACGAGGCTGTGGACCAGCTCTCCAAATTCAATCAAGTCGGTGGCTTTTTCTTTTTTCTGGTTTCTTCCTCTGATGAGAGTTTCCCCTTGCAGACTTTGGCTGATCTCTCGGCAACGGCGAAGCGAAAGCCGATTGACGGGATACTTCTCACCAAGTTCGATACCATCGATGACAAGGTCTCAGTTCTATCTTTCATGCTTGCTTGCGAGCTTCTCTTATCAACGTGTGTTTGTGTGTCGCAGGTGGGAGCAGCGTTGTCCATGGTCTATGTTTCTGGCGCACCGATCATGTTTCTTGGATGCGGTCAGAGTTACCATGACTTGAGGAGGCTCAATGTCAAGTCGATTATCAAGACTTTGTTGCAGTAGTGATACTACCCGCAGTGTGCTGGTTGTGGAGGTGTGTTCTTGGTAATAAAAGACGAGCTTGCTGGTTACTTATCATCCGCGTATGCAAACTCCGACGAGTATATATCCTCTACAAAGTCGTCGCAGAAGAGCAAGAGCTCGGCAGAGATTTCTTCCACTTGTTCGTCCATGATCATGGCAAGTAGTTTTTCGTGCTTTTCATTCCTTGGCTTCTCCCTTGTTTGCCTGCGATATTTTCTATGAGTGTCAAATAGGAAAACTCAAAACTTACAAGTCGTTCCCCACTGTGCTGCCAGTGCTTCGATGCCTTGTCGGTTCCTCTCTGCGAGATTTCTGTGAGCTGAGATCGCGAATAGTGAAAAACTCAAACTTACATCTCGGTCATTATACTGTCAATCTTTGTTGGTTCCTCCTTTGTTTGCCTGCGAGATTTATGTGAGCTGAGATCGCGAATGGTGAAAAATTCAAACTTACAACTCGGTCACCACTAAATGATCAATGCCTCGGTGCATTGTTAGATCCTCTTTTGTTTGCCTACGAGTTTTTCTGTGAGCAGAGATCGTGAAAACTCAAAACTTACGCCGGTGTACTGTGATGCCTTGCTGGAAACTCTTTCGTTTGACTGCAGCCAATTTCACTTTGAGCGGGAACTGTGCAAGGGATGGTTAAAAACTTACGAGATGGTTTCCATGGTCTTCTCAGGATTTCTGTATATAAAGTCTTAGAACCTTTTAAAGAAAGAGTAAAAGCTCGTCCAACCTTGGAGCCATTTCATTCATCAATTCATCGAGTATAAATTTTCCAATGTCCTTCCCTTCGTCTTGGTCGGATACAAGCCACCGTTGCTTCAACTCGTCTTCCTGGGAGAGGAAGAAAGGAAAACTGAGTTTAAAACTCGGCAAACTTCACTTACATGTTTTAGCACTGCTAGCATCGAGTCTAAAATTTTATCCTCAAGCTGCTTCGCGTTGTCATTTCTAAGATCCAGTACTTCATGCCTCTCTTCGATTATCGGTCTAAGAAAGGCGTTAGAACGAAAATGTCTGAAAGACTCTGAAAGAGATTACTTACCGATGATGCTCGGTGCGGCTGCGATGACGATGACACTTAGCATTGTTATGTTTCGGCTGAGTTGCGGCTGAAGATGTGGTTGCAGCTGCGAAGAAAGTAAAAAAAAAAAATTAACGAAGATAGAAAACCAAAGAAAACAGACCTTGACGAGCAGTCTTCTCCCGTTTTCGTGCGGATTGCTTTTGCGACCTTCGCTTACATTTTGCATAGAGGAGCGCAACGAGAGGCACCTTCTTGGTCTTTTTGGGAGAAGGTTTTCTTGCTTTCTCTACACTTCTAGCAGACTCTGGGGCAGGCTCGGTTGGAACGGACACTGGCGGACTTCTTCTGTGGCCACGCCTACGCGTTCCTCCAAAAGTTGTCCTGGTCCTGTCACTTCCCGAGTCATACTTGTGCAGGTCACTGTGGATAGATGATCTCCTTAACGGACGAAAACCGTGAGCCGGATGCCTATAATGCTTACCAGCTTGTCTGTGATTGTTGTGAAGCCATGTAAGCGTGTGATACTCTTGCGGTGTTTGCCCGTGTGTTGTGTGAATATAAGCAGGCCTGCGGGGAGACTTGGAACGCTGCTGTTTTGCTTGCACCGTGGCGAGCATGTCTAGTAGCTGCTGCTGGATGCTTGTCTGGAAGATCAAAAAAAGAGAAGAAACACCACAATCAGCTCCAAAGGTTTTAATGAATCGAAGCAAAAATGTTGTAAGTATTGAGATACCTGATGATCATCAAGAAAAAGAGCAACATAGTACAGCATTTCACGCGTAAGCTTTCACGAACAACACAGACTAGTACTCCCAGACAAGGTAGAAGAAGAAACCATACGCTCAAGAAAAAATCGAAAGCATTGGATACTGCATACGTGATGATCATCAAGAAAAAGAGCGACAAATCGCCAAGCACAGCATTTTCACGCGTAAAAAGAAAACTTCCAAGACAAGGTAGAAGAAGAAAACCATTCAATCAAGCAAGAAAAAAAATCGACTGCTTTGCTATCGGGAAGAAACGAAGATTTACCTGAGCACAGTGACCCACTGTGAGCGCCTTGAGCTGCCGATTTTGCTCCTCCAATTGCCTCCTCATGGCATCAACCTGTTCTCCCATCCCCACCGCCATTTCCACCACTTGCCTCACGCTCGCCTGATGCTCGCTCTCCCTCCTCTCCTGATCCAGAGCCGCCATCTCCCTCCGCCGCCGCCGCGCGATCCATGGCGGCTCCAGCGCCTGGAGGGAGGAAGACGAAGAAGCACAAGTACCTCCCCTCACCACCAGCGCCGATAATCCATCAGCCTCAGCGTAGCAGTCCAAATTCCTCCTTACAACCTCGGCAATCCGGCTGAATCGATCTGCGCGACTCGCCACAGCCGCGACGGTGGTGTCGTCCGCCATAGCCTTAGTTCAAATCTTTCCTTGCGCTCAAACAAAATAGGGCAATCCGGACCGCTCGCTTGTATGGGGCCAATCCTAGCCATTGGTTCTGGGAGAGTACGATCACTAGAAGAGTAGTGTTTGATGATCGCTGGAAAGATGGAAGAGAGCACCTTGATCATGTCCTTCTCCTCGATAGCTCGCTTTCCTCCATCTCCATATGTGCTCGCGATGCCATGGAATTAGGGTTTATATTATGGAGCATGGCTGAGGCGCTGCGACGGTGGCAATGGCCTTCCCCAGCGCGAGGATTAGGGCTTGGCGGAGCGCATTTGGAGGCCTACGTCGCGGATTCGACGAGGCCGCTGCTGTGCAGGAGATTCTGGGCCAGGCGCCGGCGCTAGCGCGCTCGTCTCTCGAGATTCCATCGCAAGAGGTGTGTGTATTGGATTATAGATCGTCTACATTGTCCCCTGTTCGATCTTTCTCAGGCGCTGGGAGACATCTTGGCGCTGTTAGACGCGGCGTCCAAGTTCGTGAGTGACAATGTGGCCCTCAGCAAAGCTTCCATTCTGGTAATCTAGTTTCTTTGTGTTGTTGTTTCCTTTGGTGCGATGTTTCCCTTTCTTCCAGGTGGTGGATTTGATATCCTCCGCCCAGCTCGAATTTCGAAAGGAGTCGGCTGCTCAGGTTTTTAGTTTTCTTCGCGGAGCGATTGAGCAGGGAGTGTCGAGCATCCAGAAGGCTGGCCTCGAGAACCATCCTTGCGATCACGTCTTTGAGACTGTCAACGCTCTTGCGTAGGTTCTTTCGCATTTCGTTTTTCCGTTTTAAAGCTTTTTTGTTTCAGGTTCTTCGTTCACGGTCATGGACAGCATCTATCATCCGACGAAGCAAACGCTCTTGTGCTCGGACTTGTGCCGTTGGTGGCGTCCACGCGCAACTCAGTCAGAGCACGTAAAGGAGGGCGATTTGATTCCAGCGTTTACACTGCTATTGCGAATGTCTTTACTCGGGCTGGATCTCTTGTTACCAAAGATACCTGGCAAAAAGTCGTGCAGGTTAGCCTTGATCAGTAGAAAATTTGTAGGTAACCACTCGTGTCGTCGCCAGGCTTTTCGCAAAGTGCTGGACCAGGTTGGAGTTGAACTTTTAGAAGAGACCGCGGCTTCCAGGTTTGTGAACTAAGTACGGTGTCTTTCTAACCTGATTCACAATTATGTGCAGGTATTACGCCGCAATCTTACGTGCCCTGCATATTGTTTTCTCTGATGCTAAAGCTCCCCTTGATGACAACGTGAGTATTCAAAGCCAGGTTTTGGTTTTCGTACTGATTTTTTAGCAGATCGGTGGTTTTGTGGCCGTGCTGCGCATGTTTGTGTCATACGGTCTTCCCGGAAATCGCACTCGAGCTTTCCCCGATGCAACAGTCCCATCACCTCGAAGTTCACAGGCAGCACCTCAAGAAGTTTTGAAAGGCAAAGGCAGCAGTTTGTACAGGCCTCCACATTTGCGTTCTCGGATGCAAGATGGTGGAGAGTCTAGCAGTCCAAGCTTGGACTCAGACAAACGAACGCTATTTTCAGATTCGGAACAAAGTGATAACGATAATTCGCAAGAGACTGACCAATTCAGAAGCTCGAAGGCTCGGACAAACGCAATTCTTTGTATCCAAGTACGCAGCTATTCTTTTAGGTTGTTTTGATTTCTTGTTTTATTTTTATTTTTTATTTTTTTTTGCTTATGCAGGCCATAGCTCGAGCTGACCCGAAATCTCTGCATGCACATTGGACGTTACTGCTACCAACTCATAACGTTTTACATCCACGGTAAGTTAATCGACTTAAAATCTTATTTTTGATTAATAAACAGGTTTGTAACTCAGTTTCATCGTGGATAATGCAGTCTGTATCAACCAACATTGGTAACAACACTAATTTTTGATCCAGTTTCAAAGGTACATATTGGTTTTTCTTACGTTTGAAATTGAACTAGCGCGTAGTGTAGACCCGTCTTGCTGCAGCGTCTACGATTTCTGCTTTATTGGAAGGTCCAGCCAAAGCTTTTCTCCAAGTAGCAGAGTACAAGGACTCGGGAAAAGCCGGCTCGTTTACAACATTGTCCACATCCCTTGGGCAGATCATTGTCCAACTTTATACAGGTACATGCTCAGGATTTGACTTTAAAATGGGGCTTACTGGATCGTCATTTCTTAGGACTGCTTCATTCGGTTTCAAATGAGTCTCAATCTGGCGTTCTTGTTGCGATATTAAAAGCCTTGTCACTACTCGTATCTTCTAGCCCGTAAGCTTTCTTTGTTTCATAGTTATCTTCTCAAAATATTGTTTTTCTTTTGCTACAAAATTTGACAGATTCGATCGTCTTCCAATAGGAGTACTGAATGACGTTATCAACACTGTACACAAAAGAATATTTGAGCTTACACCCTCTTCCGATCAGACACTTTTGGTGAGGAAGTCTGCAGTTGTCAACATGACTGATTCTTTTTCAATGAGCAGGTTCCAGGACTTAGCTGTTTGTCTGTAGCTTTGGCGGCTTCTTCAGGATCGTCACAAGTCTTGAGCTCTATACTCGAGCAGAATCAAGGTGAGGCTTGATTATTTGTAGTTAGCCATTTGCTAATACTAGTACTTGCAGTTTCTAAAAAGTCAGTACTAGCAAATTTAATCTATCTTGCAAGAGCGTCACCATTTTCAGGTGTTCGTATCGAAGCTCTCCAGGTAAAAGGTTTTCTGTGCTCATGCATGTTGCCTCACGTCTAAAATTGTGTAGGCATTGAAGGCTGCTGTCCACAGTCACTCTACTTTGGCTTCTCTTTACTGGAATGAACTAGCGGAGGTGGTTCACGAAGTCATAGAGCATGAAAGCGCTACACATATTACTGAGGTTCCATGTCCAGTCGGGAATTTTCGGGCCGTGGATGAAAAAACTGTATATCATTCGCTAAAGGTACACGGGAAGCATTTGGTTTTCGGGTTTGTGATCATTGCAAAATGGCAGCTTTTAGACGAGTTGCTGCGAGTGTTATCTGGTTTCAACGGTGCAGACGATATGTTCGACTTTCCAACAACATCGCCGAGTCCGTCTTTGGTGCCTCAACCAATAAAGCTGCTAACTGCTACTGGAAGAACTGTTCAGAATGTCCCCGATAAGCTCGATCCTGCAGCATCTCAGTGGCTTGAAGTCATGAATAAGTTTCTTCCACTAGTACTGTACCACGGTACCCCTATGGTTAGTTGTTGCCGTGTTTTTTGTCCTCGTGCTCACCACGGCTTACAGGTCCGAGCAGCTGCATTAACCTGTTTTGCCGGTCTAACACCAGGCGTCTACTCTAACTTATCAGAGAAACACCAGGAGTACATATTGTCCACTGTCGTAAGCAAACTCTGAAAATTCCGCGCGTCTTTGTCTGATTCTTGTTCTTTTCAGATAAATGCGGCTATTAGAGATGATACAGCATCTGTACGCTCGGCAGCTTCCAGAGCAATTGGAGTTTTAGTGGGCTGTAGTGAGATCGTTGAAAGGTGGTCTAGCTGCTTGCTTAGTTATTCTGCTAACAAGTTCCCTCCAGGAATCAAAGATTAAACTCCGTCGTTGCCACTATCCAGGCTGCTATCTCAGATGCTGCCTTATCGGTTAGTTTCTTTTTGCCCGTGATTAACTCCACAGCTGTAACTAGCTGAAAATGATGCAGGTACGAATCACGTCTTGCTGGGCTTTAGCAAATATCTGTGACGCCTTCTGCAAAAGCTTTGAAAATGGATTCCCATGTACGTATGTCCATGTTAATGTATTGATGCTTCTTATGCTGCTTTTATAACAGCTATTGCCCGTGACTCGAAATTATTGACTACTTTGGCAGAGGTTGCACTGAAGGCAGCTAAAGATGGAGATAAGGTAGGTGGTTTGTGTATGCAGACAAACTCTGAAGTCTTTCCAGGTCCGCGCAAATGCCGTCAGAGCATTGGGCAACCTTGCGAAGTTTGCAGACTTCTCTGACGGCGTTGCGACCGATGAAAACCGGAGTCCACCACTTTTATGGCTGGGGCGCATGGTCCAGACGCTGGTGTCGTGCATCACAACAGGCAACGTGAAGGTATTTTGACCAGCGTTTATTGCCTCAATTGTGCCAGTCACGTGCTTTTTTCAGGTTCAATGGAATGTGTGCCACGCACTCGGTAATTTATTTCTCAACAGAACCATTTCTCTACCAGAGATGCCATGGTGAGTTTGTTGGTTTCGTTTTCACTACAGTACCATAACCAGTGTTGTCTTCCTCAACAGGTCTTCTTCGGTGTTTAGCATCTTGCTGCTGCTTTTACGCGATTCTGGAAACTTCAAAATCCGTATACACGCGGCATCTGCATTGGCTGTTCCCAGCTGTCGGGATGGTAATGTGAAATCTCCAAGTGTTTTATCAATTGCTAAGACTTTGGTTGATGGATGTAGACTTTGGCGAATCCTTTGGTGATGTCCTTCACGGGCTAGTCCATGCGCTCGAGTCACTAGACTCTGGCAAAACTGCGCCATCGAGTTTTAAATACATGTCAACACTATCAGAGCAGGTCTTTCTTTCTCCTTTTTAACCTCTCTTTCTTTCCCATCAACTTTTGATTGCCGATTTTACAGCTAGACACAACACTCCTCCAAATCCTTTCATATGCAAGCCCTGAGGACTACTGCTCGCTCAAGGACTTCTTACACAAGGTGAGCTTTTTCCAGAACTTACATCTCGCAAACTTAGTGCTTCTGTTTGTGACTAGCGTGCGGCGTTTCTACACGGCTGGCTACATTCCTTACTGAGATCGCCGGCACCAAACTTAGAAGGACTCGAAAGAGTGAGTACGAAGCAAACGCAGGCTCTCCAAGCAGCTCAAGCGCTGGGCAGCTTGTTTTCCAGTGGAGGAGACAAAACTTTACAGGAGAGATTTGAGAACCTGCGAGTAAGCTGACTCGATCGAGCCAAACCAAAAAAAATATCCAAAGTCTGTCCATCCAGAACGAACCAGGTAGCAAACACAGTGATTGATGTAATGGAACGTAACTTTGATACAAGTCTCGGATAAAAGCATGGATATTTTCGATTTCGCCTTGTCTCTGATGATTGTTCCGGGGTCCATATCCTAGTAATCTGGAGCTAGCCTCGGCCAACTCTCTGCAAAAATCCTGCTAGAAGAGATTTCATCCTTCTTTTTCTACGCCAGAAAGCGAACCTTTTTCTTGGTGTTGCTTGCGTAAGAGGACATTGTGTACCCGCAGTGGTGGACGTCTCGCGTCGGGAATAAAAATCATAGCCGCTGGATTCTTTCTCCTCCCAGCACAGCGCACCCCTCCAAGCGTAACAATCGATGGCGACGTATTTGGCCGGCAAATAGCGCTGCTGCAAGAACCATCGGAGAAGAAGACGAGTATGTGTCTTTAGCGGCTGGAAACAAAGCCAACAAGCACAAAGCCAAGCTTACCCGGCACTCAGCTTCCAAAGTTCTGTCCGGGACCAGTTTGCGCTGCGAGGCTCCCATGATCCCACACACAACAGTGAATGCGACAAAAGCTGCGTAGAGTTTTTCGAAGTGTTCACTTAGTCAACAAGAACATCAAAGCCGAGAGAGAAGCAGCCCCAGATACTTTACTCTCGGCTCGGGTCGGCGTCGTTCGTGTCCACCTCCGCCGCTTAAAGGTTTTCTAGGCCACCTCTGCCACTCCGGAGGTACGCAGAGTGTCTTTCTCTTTCCTTCCTTTTTTTTAAAGCTTTGAGCTTTAATTCCCAGGAATGCTGTGTCCCACCGCTGGCTGCCGCTGCTGGGACGAAGCACAAAAAGCAAGTGTCCGAAAGCACAAGAAAAAATGTAAGATAAGACACAAAGCTTTCTCCAAAAGCCTTTGCTTACCGGGTGGTTCTCCGCTTAGAATTATACGATCGACAAAGTGGTCCCTGCTTGAGGCGGCAGCTTGATTTGTGGAATCGTCCTCAGTGAGCTGAAGACACAAGGCAAGGAGGCTAAAGTATTAGCCTTTGGTTGTTGCTGCTGGGCTCCGGACCCCCGAAAACAACGTTTGAGGTTTCCTAGGCGCAAACCATGTGAGCCCGCTCTATAAAATAAAGACCGCCTGTGTAAGTAGAACGTTGGGGAAGCAATTGCAAGAAAGAAACCTCGTGTGTACCCCATTTTCTTCATTTTTTTTTTCTTGGCTGGCTGGTAATAGCAATCAGATCTCGTGGCTTGCACGCGTACGAGTGGCTGGCAGAACGGGCATGCCGTACGCCTTTTGTTTTCTCCACGTTTGCTCTGAGTAGATAAACATGCCAAGAATTAGCTAATAGCTAAGACAATCAGATCTAGGAGGAGACGCGCTATAGAAAAATAAAAAAACGTACGTACCAATGCAACCACCGCACTGCCGGGACTCTAAACAACGTCCTTGGTAGTAGAAACCTGAAAAAGTAGAGCAGCCACCTCAATCAATGTAAAAGGAGATAAAAAAGCAAGCACTTACCTCGTTTAGTGCTCCAGTAAAGAGCTAAAATCACCACAAAAGTTCAGTAAGTCATCACTAACTATATGTATAGCCTTACCTCCGCGTTGCTAGCCTTTGACGCGAGCTTGTTGAGATTCATTCCTCCTGCGTTTGGGATTCGCTTGCCGGTGGCAGCCTGGAAAGGCCAATGAGTACCTCTCAGTGTGGTATACGGAGCAGAAAAAAGCCAGCCCGGAATGACATGATATTTTGGTGACTTGCTCGCTGCTTCTTCTCGTCTTCCCTTCCGCCCCCGCGTTTCTGCTATACTCTCTTTTTCTAGCGTCACGAGCCAGCCGCTCATCCACTCGCTGCTCGCCACCACTCCAGTTCCCTGCACCGCTGCTGCTGCTGCTGCTGCTCAGCTCCTGGAATTGCCACTCTTTCTTTGCTTTCACGACTGCCTCAGCTCCGCTCAGTCCCAAAAGCACGCCTGGAAGCACGGACTGTCGACCATCAAAATACAGCTTCTCCCTGATCGCTTGCTAGGCTCTTGCAGCAGTAGGAGGAGGAAACGACTAACTTTGAGTGAGATCAGCCCCTTATTCTACTCTTCCTCTTTCCTCGGTTTTGCTCGGTCCTTGCGTAGCTTAGGAGCTCCAGCTAGTGCACTGTGGCCGCATTGCTTTTTCTCCTTTCCAGGTTGTCGATGTGAAGCTCCTTCCCAGAGTGTGCCTGCCTCCTGCGCTCTGATATATACTCATGGCTTTTCTTCCAAGGCTCTTGCTCTAGCGCCTCCATTCTATAAAACATATCGTGTCTGTACGACAGTTGCTTCCTGAGTCGCACAGGAAACGCATCCCGCTCGGCTTTGATAGTCGTCTTCAAATCCAGAATCTGCCTTCAAATCTATGTGTTGCATCTTCTACAATGACCAACACCATAGCCACCACCACCACCACCAGCATGCAGGTAAGAAGAAGCAGGTCGTCCTCGAACTCGTTTTTCTGACGCATAGCTTGAAAACTTGCAGACCGTGATACTCAAAGTCGGATTGCACTGCGAAGGCTGCGAGCGGAGAGTGAAGAAGGCACTGTTTAACGTCAAAGGTGAGCTATTGCGAGTGATCTTCAGTGTGGCCTCCTCACACATTGCTTTCTTCGTCCAGGCACCGCCTCAGTTGATGTAGATAAAAACAGAGAATGGATCAAAGTAACCGGATTTGTCGATCCGTCGAAGCTCTTGAAAGCGGTGAAGAAAACTGGGAAGCCTGTGGAGCTGTGGAACTATCCAAACGGCAACGGCAACAAGAACCTGTATGGATCTCAGCCTGTCATGACCACCCCGAGCAAAGCTTCGAAAGGAGGTCCGAAGGGAAACAACGGTAACAAAAGCTTCCAAGGCAGCAACAAGTCGAACGAACACGACCGTTCCTTCCATCCTCAGCCCGAATACTTGTCTGAAGCCTCCGACTACGAGCATTCACCCAAAATGCAGTTTTACGGCAAGGACGGCGGCAAATCCGACTTGTATGGCGATTTCAAGTCCCCCAAAAACCAGATGTCCGACTTCTACAGCGATCTCAAGCCCCAGAAAAGTCAGAAGACCGACTACTTCGGCGATCTCAAGCCTCAAAAGAACCAGAAGTCCGACTTCTACGGCGACCTCAAGCCTCAGAAGAACCAGAATTCCGGCGGCTACGGTGATTTCAAGTCCCCCAAGAGCCAAAAGTCCTCCGACTTCCACACCGATGCCAAGCCCCAGAAGAACCAAAAGAACCAGAAGTCTGACTCGTTCTTTGGCAGCTTCAAGTCCTCCAAGAACCAAAAGTCCGACTTCTACAGCGATGCCAAGCCTCAAAAGAACCAGCAGAAGTCCGACTTCTACGATGACATCAAGCCTCAAAAGAACCAGCAGAAGTCCGACTTCTATGGCGATGCAAAGCCTCAAAAGAACCAGCACATGTCCGACTTCTATGGCGATGTCAAGCCTCAAAAGCACCAGCAGAAGTCCGACTTCTATGGCGATTTCAAGTCCCCCAAGAACGAGAAGTTTGATCACTATGGCGAATTCAAGTCCCCGAAGAGCCAAAAGTCCGAAGGTTTCAAGTCGGAAAAGAAGGCCAATTACAAGGTCGATACCCGGTCCGAGTACGATGATCTCTCACATTCTGGCTCGGAAGACGACAGTGACTTCAGCGACAGTGTCAAGAAGCCCAACATCCGTTCAGGCTACGATGACGAGAATTCCACTGGACTTTATGGTAATCATCATAAGCAGTCCGGCCACGAGTTTAAAAAGTCGGGATATGGCGCGTCCACCTACAACAATGAGCACAAGTCATCAGGCTCCACTTACAGCAATGAGCACAACAAATCACCGTACATGGATACCTCTCGCTTTGACGGTGATCGAAAGTCCAATAGCAACCAGAAGAAGCAAAAGTCGCAGGTAGCTCCGAAGTATGTCTCGTTCGAGGATGACTACGAGCAGCCAAGGTATCGACAACAACCTGAAGGAAATTACCGAAATCAGGACCGCGGACATGAGCAAAAGTTCTATACCACCGAGCAGAGCTACCACCCAGGTTACAGCTACGCGTACCACGACCGTGTTCCTCCTGCCAACACTGGATTCAGTACTATGTTCAGTGAAGAAAATCCCAATGCCTGTTCAATCATGTAAGTTTATTCTTCCTCTTCAACAGTCAGCTTTTCTTCCAGCTTATACATAACTTGCCTGCCGTTGCCCTCGTATTTGCGATCGCAGTTTTTCTTTCATTGAGTTTCAAATAAAACGTTCGAGTAGATTATAGTTAAAAAGATCTTGTCAAGCCTTCGAAAATAAAACACGCAGATCCATTAAAAGGCAATCGTTTTACAAGTACCTGAATCAGCTGAGATTCTCGCAGACCTCGCTACGTGAAAATTGGTATCACGTTAGCACAGATCCACTCGTAATCAGAAGCTTAACAATATATACCACCGATCAAACTCCCAGTAAGGATATCAAGTACAAGATGTAGGCGATGATGCACCCAAGAGCAGCACCGGCAGCAACCTGGGACAGAAAATCGATGCAGAAGAAACGAGAAGTACGCAACGTTACCTGTGGTGGAGTATGTCCAAGAGGCTCTCTCAAGGGTCTAGAGTCTGCCAAAGGATGCTCCGGTGGTAGCTCAAACACTATCTGGTTCAACACCTGGATCACGCAAAACTCTTTCGGAATGAGCGAAGAAGTGACTCGCAAACAAAAGCACTTTTACCTCGGCTTGCCTCCCAGCATGAAACCTGACACTAGACGCATCGTACATAACCTGGGAGAAAAATAAAAAAAGAAGAGAAAGTTCACATATTTCTCGACGTCAACGAGGAAGAAACTTACTATGCTCGCCAAGACCAGCGCAATCGCAAAGAGAGATCCTCCAGTGCCGTCCCGGAGCCCAATCGCAACAGTGAGCCCGATCACAGTGGCGGAATGCGACGACGGCATTCCCCCCGATCCAGCCATTCTCTTCAAATCCCACCGCTTCTCCTTGTACCTGCGGACCTAGCACCGAGCGCATTGATCCTAGGGATCGAAAACCCCAGAAATCCCTACCAGGTGGTGACGATCTTGAGCGATTGCGCGGCCACGAACGAAACGAAGGCTGCTACCAGCGGCAGATTCGAGAAGGAAGAGTAGGCCGATGGAACAGCGGCAGGATCGAGCGATTGATCCGCAGCTGCCACCGCGCCTTCCATCGCTCCCCCTCTCATAATTTATTTAGGGTTCTTCGCGAGAACAAGCATCGTATTTACTTAGGACGAGCAAGCTAATCTAATGTCGAAACTAATCTCGCGGCTTAACAGTCCCTGGCCAGCAAGGGTCGGTCTCGTCTTTGTGGCTCCAAAGAATGACACGAAGATAGATACCCACATTTTCTAGGGTTCTTCCAGCAGCTATGGCGGCATCGGCGTCGTGTGCCTTGGCGTTCCATCCGCTTCTACAAGGTACTAGCGCTACTCGCTTGAGACGATCGGCATTCACACCGCACAAATCTCCTCCCCAGCAATGCATCGTCATCGCTCGCGCTTCGCAGTCGAAATTCCCGGCGGCGACGCTGGCATCGGTTGTTCTAGCAATCTCTGGCGCCACTCCCGCCATGGCCGTGGACGTCCAGCCTCCTCCAGCCCCCCAGGCACAACAAATCGAGCAGACTCCAGCGGCGGGGTCGCCATTCTCGCTCATGGAAGCTCCGCCGGTGGAGGCCCGGAAGAAACTCGATCTTCCAGAGGGGAACCAGTGGCGATACAGCGAGTTTTTGAACGCGGTGAAGGGAGGGAAGGTGGAGAGAGTGAGGTTTAGCAGGGATGGCAGCGTTCTCCAGCTCACCGCCGTGGACGGGCGACGAGCAGCAGTGATCGTTCCAAACGATCCCGACCTGGTCGATATCCTTGCCATGAATGGAGTGGATATCTCGGTCTCGGAGGGAGAGTCCGGCAACAATCTCTTCAACATCCTCGGCAATCTCCTCTTTCCACTGCTCGCTTTCGGAGGCTTGTTCTTGCTCTTCCGGAGAGCTCAGGGAGGCCCTGGCGGTCCCGGAGGCCTTGGAGGTCCCATGGACTTTGGACGATCGAAATCCAAGTTCCAAGAGGTTCCAGAGACGGGGGTTACATTCGCGGACGTTGCTGGAGCCGACCAGGCAAAGCTGGAGCTCCAGGAGGTGGTCGACTTCTTGAAGAACCCGGAGAAGTACACGGCCTTGGGTGCTAAAATTCCAAAAGGCTGCCTGCTCGTCGGCCCTCCAGGGACTGGGAAAACTTTGCTAGCGAGGGCTGTTGCTGGTGAAGCCGGTGTGCCGTTCTTCTCGTGCGCCGCCTCTGAATTCGTGGAGCTCTTTGTCGGTGTTGGAGCCTCCCGTGTAAGGGACTTGTTCGAGAAGGCCAAGGGGAAGGCTCCATGCATTGTGTTCATCGACGAGATTGATGCCGTCGGCAGGCAGAGAGGTGCTGGCCTGGGTGGTGGAAATGACGAGCGCGAGCAAACTATCAACCAGCTGCTCACTGAGATGGATGGTTTTTCTGGGAACAGTGGAGTCATAGTTTTGGCCGCCACGAACAGGCCCGACGTGCTCGACTCTGCTCTCTTGAGACCTGGCCGATTTGATCGGCAAGTCACGGTTGACAGACCTGATGTGGCTGGACGAGTGAGGATTTTGGAGGTAAAGCTGCAGTTTTGATAACGTTCTTACTTACGTTTTCCTTTTCTTTTCTTTTCAGGTCCATTCTAAAGGAAAATCCCTGGGCAAGGATGTCGACTTTGAGAAGATCGCAAGAAGAACTCCGGGCTTTACCGGCGCGGACTTGCAAAACCTCATGAACGAAGCGGCCATCCTGGCGGCCAGGAGAGATCTCAAAGAGATTAGCAAAGATGAGATCTCTGATGCTCTGGAACGAATCATCGCTGGACCTGAGAAGAAGAATGCTGTGGTTTCGGAGGAGAGGAAGAAGCTGGTTGCTTACCACGGTAAGCAAACTCTCACTTTTAGTTTCGTCGGGGACTTACTCGAGTTTTTGTTGGAGTAGAGGCTGGCCACGCACTCGTTGGAGCACTGATGCCCGAGTATGATCCAGTCGCGAAAATTTCCATCATCCCCCGGGGTGGAGCCGGAGGTTTGACATTTTTCGCACCCAGCGAGGAGAGACTTGAGTCAGGTTTATACAGCCGAAGCTACTTGGAGAACCAGATGGCGGTGGCTCTTGGGGGAAGGTACGTGATCTAATCTTCCCATTTTCTTTGCTTTAAGCGTGCGATTCCAGAATCGCGGAGGAGGTGATCTTCGGCCCCGAGAACGTCACCACCGGAGCTTCAAACGATTTCCAGCAAGTGTCGCGGGTTGCACGCCAGATGGTGGAGCGATTTGGATTCAGCAACAAGATTGGCCAGGTCGCTCTCGGTGGCTCTGGCGGAAATCCTTTCCTCGGCCAACAGGTTCTTGCGCAAAATCAGAAACAAAGTAGAAACTGAAACTTACTCTCTTTCTTTCTTTGTTCTTCGCAGCTTTCTCAGCAATCCGATTACTCCATGGCCACCGCTGACGTTGTCGACGCCGAGGTTCGCGAGCTCGTCGAGTCGGCCTACGCTCGAGCCAAGCATCTCATCACGACTCACGTTGAGATCTTGCACAAGCTCGCCAATCTCTTGATCGAGAAAGAGACTGTGGATGGCGAGGAGTTTTTGAGCCTCTTTGTGGATGGAAACGCGGAGCTTTACTTGGGATAGATTCGCAAATGTAAAGTCATGAGAACTTAAATAAATAAATAAAATTAAACCCTTAGGCTAACCGCTAATATATACCTTGTTACGAATTTCTCTGGCTTACACGGGACAGTATTCGAACCCCCAACCTTAGCAACGGGACAAATCTTATGGTTTGCGGTATAGCCAAGGGGTCCCTTGGGTAGCCATTACAATTTTCACGAAAAAAAGGCTTGACCAAGTGAGTAATCTTTTGGGTTAAAAAATAACATTTAGCTTCAGTTGTTTTATCCCTTATAATCCATATACTTTCTGTCATATATATGAATTTACAAGTTTGAACTGGAGTAGCTTGTGAGCCATTACCCATGAAGGGGTGATAATTACATTGTAAACTCTCGTCATATGTAAACATATAAAGAGAGCACGGGATGATTGCATTCAAAAGGAATGCTAAAAACAGATTTGTATTTGGATCTAAACACCGTGAAGCTTTCAAGCAAAATTTTTAAAGCCTATTGTTAAGGAACCAGCTCTAGGAACTAGAGAGTATTTTGTGCATCAGCCCAAGATATAGTTAAAACCTTCTGTAATTTCCTAAGGAGTCTGTTACTTCAACAGAACATATCACTCTCTATATGTAGTTTAGGGTTTATGGAGTTCCTCGCGGTGTTGCTAGGAGCGATCGTGCTGCTGCGCTCCATTGCCGGTGCCGCGGAGCTACAATGGAAGCCGCTCCAGAGCTGGGGCGAGCTCCAGGACCACGATCTAATCCTCTGCCTCGCTACTTTTCCATGTAAGTCTTCCACTCTTAGATTTCCCGAGATGAACTGGAATTTGGATGGATCCAGGGAATGGCGAGGCCAAGAGCTTCATGCGCGAGTTTCTCGAGCTCCTGAGCCGCGAGAGGCCAGAATGCGCTGGAAATCTGGAGCTGCGCATCGCGCACACACACAGGGACGAACAAAGAACTTGGATGTACCTCACACTGCACAAGTCGGGAGAAACTTTCCAGTACAGAGGCAAGCTCTCGGCCGAGCGAGTGCTAGCTGCGGTGGATCACGCCTTGGTATCGGAGTTATTCCAGCCTCTCCACACATTTGGCGTTTTGCAGGAATTCATCGGCTCCACGGACAGAGCTTTTGTCTTGGTGGATCTCTGTGGCTGGACGCTAGAGACTGGCAGGATCGTGGAAGACTACGAGAACAACGAGCCAAAGTTTGGACAGCCCGAGAGCCTACTATATGAGACAGCGAACGAGACTTCTTCGTGTGGCTCTCGACGTGATGAGCTCGTCTTTAGTTCCTTCTACCGCAACCTCACGGAGGCTGCGAGCGCGAGCTTTCTTACACCGCTATCAGCGAGGTTTGGAGTTATCACGCTGGCTCAGGTGCTCGAAGATGCAGGGCTTGAGATTCCAGACGGCAAGCCATGGTTTCTCTTGAGACGCACCGAAGACATCTCTCGCTCTTGGCGAGTTTTGGATGATCCGGCTTTGCTCGACGACTTTTTAGAGAACACTGGTGTAGTTGTGGATGAGGTACGTTTCGAGGCAAGTTTTTCTAGCTTGGATAGTGGAGCTCACTCGCTATATTCGTCTTTTAGGTGGACCAGGACACACAAGAAATCCCTCGCGACAGGCCGTCGGTATTTCTCTTCTTATCTTTCTCACCGGAACTTAGAGGTGAAAGCATCGAGGCATTGCGTATCGTCCGCGAAGTTGCCAGGTACTATGAAAGTTCGCCCCAGTGGAAGACCTCTCGTAACGATTCCAAAGTAGTCCCCGTGGTTATTGAGCAGGACCAGCCGGTAATGTTTCGTGGTGTCGTCGTGAAAAATGGTCAGACCATCACACTCGGCCAGAAAGATTTAGGAGCAGGCATAGCAAGGATCTTGCAGCTTTTGCTCCAAGGTACAGGTGGCAAAGATGATCCAGAAACTACTGCGGTCGTTGACAAAGGAACTTCGCAAGATATAACAGCAGAATCTGTTCATGAAACCAGCCAAGGGGACTTTGGTGCAGAATCTCAAGCGAATGGAGAAGATGAAGGAATGCAGGGGCAGGAAAACAGCAAGGTGGCCCAGGATGTTACCATGGAGATATCGACAGAAGGAACTAATGAAGCCATGCAAGAGCACGAGGATATGAAGTCTCAAGAAGACGTAGACGAGTGGAGGTTCAACTTTGGCTTCTTTGATAGTGCGTATGCACTGCAAGAATTTCTAACTGGAACAAGCAACAGCAGGCCGTCATTGGTAGCAGTTTTTCCCGACAGGAACGCACGATATGTCTATCCAGACGACATTCCTCTAAGTTTTGAAGGCCTTGTGGAATTCCTCGATGGAACTCTATCCGGTGGTGTCCTGGCTACGCTGAAATCAACTCGAGCTCCAGTTGTTTCACGAAAAGCGGTCACACCTCCATTCGTGAATCGAGATTTTCACCGAACTCATCCCGTTCCTAGCGTGTCACTCGAGACGTTTCCAGAACTGGTGATGGGATTTAGAAAAGGCCGGACAAATTCTTCTAAAAGCAGTTCGACTTCCTTGGTTATGTTTACGCTCCCATGGTGCGGGTTCTGCAAGAGAATGGAGCTTGCTATGCATGAAGTATACAAATACTTCTTGATCCAGGGTAAAGACGGTAAGATTTGGATCAGCTACTCAAGAAGTTAACCTTTCCTTGTTTTGCAGATTCAAAAAGCGTGGAGCTAATAGTTCCCAGCTTCTATCAGATGGACTGTGGAAGCAACGATTGTAGCCATATACTAGCAAATGTTGTGGAGGTAATGCACAAATTCATTGCGCATAGACACTCCTGTTTATAACGTTTTTTTTTTTCTTTTGTAGAATCAAGAGTTTCCATCTCTTCTATTATTTCCTTCGAAAGACAAAGACAAAGTCTCCGTATACAAAGGTGCCCCGACGGTAAGCGGCATCCTACATTTTATCGCAAAGCACGGGACCTCGACCGTTCAGCCACCCTCGACGATAACAATCCAGCAAAACCTCGACGAGACTTCACAAGAGGGAGAACGCATCGGAATTGGTCACGTCCTTTTAGCCACCGAGAAACTTTCGGCCAACTCTCCAAACTTCGCAAACTCGGCAGTCCTCATTGTTTCCGTGACAGACAACTACGTTGTGGGGCTGGTTATGAACAAGGACATGCCAAAGGAGGAACTTTTAGCTGTTGATCAGCGGCACAACGTGAAGATTGGCTACGGGGGACCTCTGTACACGCGTCCCAAGTACATATTCACCTTCACTAGGCTCCAGAACCTGGAAGGCTTCGGTACAGTTTCGTATGGCCTCTCTGCGGGTGGTCCCTCTGCAACCGAGAAAGTCTTCGAAATTATTGAAGCCAACAAGCTGCCAGCGTCGGAGTTCAAGTTTGTAGCGGGGCATTGCGGGTGGACTCCACTGCAGTTACGGGAGGAACTAGCTGATGGTTACTGGCAGCTAACGCAATATCGAGAAGACATGTTTCAGTGGGAAGGCGAGCTGCAACAGACAAACACTTGAATTGCCGTGGAACGGTGGCTTCAAAGTTCAAAGGTAATGCTCTTTACTCTCGATCCAAAAGCTGCTGACCAGTGGCTTTTTCAGGTGGATCGATCGAGCTTGGACATGATCAGGAACAAAGTGCCGCGGATCACGATCATGCTCTGCAGCTTGTGGTATGAGTCAGTCCGCTTTTTTTTCCCTCTTTTTCTTTTCCATTTATTTACTCCTCTTTACTTTGGTTTTTGCAGCCGAAGAATTAAGAAAGAGAGCAGAGTCACCGTCTCACTTTTCCCAAGATTTAAAAGATACCAAGGACAACACAACAGGCAGAGAGGGAGGGGCGCTGAAAACATTCAAGCCAGTGTGACTCATTGGTTGAAGAACAGCGTGCAGTAAGGAGCCAGCGGCAGTGGATTGCGCACCGTGGTGTTACCGTTGAAGGAGATGCTCTGGGATTTGGTCACGAGTATCCGACCGACCCTCGGCTCACGAGAGGAGCGGAGGCTAGAGTGAGATAGACTAGGCAGAGACAGGAGGAGCATCGTAACCCCGTGGCATGGTGGTAGTGGTAGTAGCGCTAGCGTAGAACTCCGCGCTGTTTAAAAGCCGAGCTCGGTGGTGGATCACGGCAGTGGGCTTGTGTGGTGAGAACTTCAGGCACGGCGATCACGCACTCTACTCCGGCTGAGAAGTTTTGATGGATCACTTCCAGTTTTTCCAGTCTCCAGTTGCTTCCGCGAGGGAGTGGTGGTATAACAGAGTGTGGAAGGAGGAGCCGTATGACGATGGCGACGATGAAATGGAGGATCGGCTCAAGGACTCGGACGACACGAGCAGCCAGTACTCTGAGGTTCTTCCGTCTTCTTAGTCTCTTCTCGCTTCGCTTTGCTCACTAGTGAATCCTTGGGCAGAATGTCGTTGTGCTGAAGGTTGGGATCCATTGCGAGGAGTGCAAGAGGATCGTAGGAGACGCTCTCTGGGCTATGCAAGGTAACTCCACTCTTTTTCTTCTCTTGGGCTTAGCTCTTTCAATCGATTCTTTGTTTTGGAGAACAGGAGTGGATCGAGTGGATGTTGACAAGCTGCGACAGAAGGTCACTGTGACCGGCAAAGTGAGCACCAAGCGAGTTCTTCGCACCGTTCAGAGGACTGGGAAGCGCGTAGAGCTGTGGAAGATTGGAGGAGATTCTAAGCGAGAGGCCAGTAGCTCTGAGATCTCTGCTGCTCATTCTCATCACGTAGGAGCCGCCAACGAAGACGAGGAAGAAGAAGAAGAGTCTCTTTGCACGATAATGTGAAAGAGAGAGAGAGTGGAGTCTTTGCTTTGTAAATCCAAAGAATGCTAAGTATTGCTGCTTGGAATTCTACTCTAGGAAAGAGGTTTTGTCGAATCCAACGGCCGGGATTTGAAGTACAAGTGGAAGGTCCGAGTTTAGGGCTCGTGGTTTTAGGGCGGTGTGATGACGAGCGCGAGCGCGAGTGCGAGTGCGAGCGCTTGGCGAATGTAGTCTCGATCCATTCTTGCCGATGGAAGAAGCGTGCTGGCACGATTGGACGACAGTGGAGGTAATTCTCTCGGATTCGCTCGTGAGATTTGGTTTCTAGCTATGTCCGATGAAACAGGCTAAGCAGGTTGTCCAGGCCGGTCCTACCGTTAGCAAGCACGGCTATGGATTGCTGCTGCCCGGCGAGGATGCAATTGCCGAGGTAGAAATTTCGAGCTCGCCGCGTTTGTTGAATTAAAGAGATTGCTGTGATTTTTTTTCCCAGAGCTCGGGTGTTCTTCTTGTGAATATCGATCGACCAGGGACGCTACTGCTTACAAGCTTTCGTCTAGTGTTTTTGGTACTTGTTTCTCGGAATATTTTCTTTCTCATAGCGTTTTCTTTCCAGCATGGAGAACAGGTGTGCAACATGGGAACCATACCTTTGGCGACAATCGAGAAGTTCTCAAAGCAGGTAGAAGTGCTTTCCTTTTTTTTTCGTTTTCTATCCAATCTATTCAGGGCTAATGCAACTAACCTTTGGTATAGCAAGCAGTTCGTCCTCCTGGACCTCGGAGCTCTATTTCTCCGCGTCGGCTCTTGCAAATTGTTGGGAAGGACTTGAGGACCATTGTGTTTGGATTTTCTCCTCATGTGAAGCATGTAAGTACTAGTCCGAGAATGCTGGCATTATCGTAACTCTTTTATCTCTTTTAAATGCAGAGAAGGATCATCTTTGATGCTCTTCAAAGATTAACAAGGCCAGCAAGGTTGTGGGACCTGTATGCTTTTTCAGCGGAATGGGCCAAATCTTGTCTGGGATTCGACTCGGATCCCCGGGTACGTCTTCAAAGTGAATACGAGCGCATCATTTCACATCACAAAAGCTACTGGACCTTAAGTGATGTGAACTCCGACTACATGCTCTGTGCAACGTATCCTTCACTTCTTGTGATGCCAAAGTCACTGAGGTAACGCTCTTCTCTAGCTGCTTTGCCTTCAATCAATGTTCTAAACAATTTCTATCGGCTAGTAATGAAGAGTTTCAGCAAGGAGCAGATTTTCGTGCCCGTGGAAGGCTGCCTACGTTGAGCTGGCAGCATCCAGGTTGGTGAGTTGCACATTGCTCCTCGTTTTCTTACAAGAAGTTTGTAAACTAGATAATGGCGCTGTGCTTGCTCGATCGTCGCAACCTCTTGTTGGGATCATGATGAACTCCCGCAGGTATATTTTTTCTCTAGACATTGTGTGATATAATAATCGATTCGTGTCTAGTATTGCGGATGAGAAACTAGTTGCAGCTCTTTGTGGGCGCCGAAGGTAAAATCTTGCTGACGCCATTTTCTTATTACCGAACGCTCAGTTGTGATCCAACAGAAAATTGTATATAGTTGATGCACGACCAAGGAAAAATGCTCTAGCCAATGGGGCCATGGGTGGCGGGTCGGAATCTTCTGCGAACTACTCTCACTGCGAGGTGAGCTGCTGCTCTACAATCTAAAGTATTTACTTGTGTTTCTCCTGTGCAGGTGGTATTCTTAGGAATTGATAACATACATGCGATGCGCGATAGTTTAGGACGCTTGCGTGATTACTTGGACACTTTTGGCGCGTCATCCTCCGATGGGTCCTCATCACTATTGGTATGAGATTTCTTTGAAGCAAATACATAATCAAACACGACTTTCAGAGAGGTGGTGGGTCAATATGGGGAGGTGGCAATTTCAGTAGCACAGCAGCGGCTGTGTCGGCTCTTGGCGATAGTGGTTGGCTTACGCATATTCACAATCTTCTTGCTGGTGCTGCTTGGATTGTCGCTCGTATTGCTGTCGAGGGCGCATCTGTTCTTGTGCATTGCAGGCAAGCAATATGTTCAGCTTAACTATGTGTTGACTTGTCTCCCCTCGCAGTGATGGCTGGGATAGAACGACTCAGCTTGTGTCACTAGCGCAACTTATGCTTGACCCGTACTACCGGACCTTCGCTGGATTTCAAGTAAGCTTTCCTGTTTTCTTTTATGTTGGTTCTTATGGCATGTTTTGTAGGCATTGATTGAAAAAGATTGGCTGGCATTTGGACACCCGTTTGCGGATCGCTTGGGAACGCCTACAATGGCCAGTAGTGAGTCTGTGCGTTCCACCCCAGCAGCTCCTGCACGGCCACATCCCAATCCGAACACTACCTCGGGAACAACATATGACACTTCTCCAATATTTTTACAGGTTCGCCGGAAAATATTTTGTACTTGTCTCATTCTATCATGTTACAGTGGTTCGATTGCGTGTCTCAACTTGTTCGACTATACCATCGGGCATTTGAATTCTCTGGGGTAAATCTTGTAGGTGCGGCTATTGCGGATCACTGACGGATTTTGTGTAGGCGTTTCTTGTCGAATTCATGGACTCCGTTCTATCTTGTCGTTTCGGGAACTTCTTATGCAACAGGTAATTGGTGCTTTTTCTTGGGCTTCAACTCACTAAAACACGTGGTGTTTCAGTGAGAAGGAAAGGGTCCAAGCTCGGATCGCCGAGAGTGCTTGCATTTGGACTCACTTCAGAAGATTGCAATCTGTGGAAAGCAAGTACAACAATTGCTTCTATATTCCTGCGTCAAGATTGTTACCTTCGCCAGCTGCGCTAGCTCCGTCTCTGTGGCCAGAGTATTATTTACGCTGGAATTTCCATCCTGAAAAGAGGTAAGCATGATTTGCATCGCGTTTTCTCAGATGGACTTCGGTTTTTGCATCAGCTCGGGGTATTCGCTCCAGGATCACATCCAAGACGAAATACGTGGGATGTTTCAACGCGCATCTTCTTCAGAGCAGGTAAAACGCACAGTATTTTCTTGTTGCACATCATATGGCTTGTACTCTCAATACGCGCAGGGCAAGAACCAGGCCGAGAACAAGGTCCAGAACCTCATGAGCATTATCGACGCTCTCCACGACGAGCTGGAGGGCGAGAAGCGAGCTCGAGCCCTGGCAGTGGCCGACGCAATCCGGGCACGCAAGGAGACGGCATTCATCAAGCACGCCGTAGAAACGCTTGGTTGCGAGATAAGTTTTCCCAGTCCAGAGGACCTTGGCATGCTAGAAACTCAACTCTACCATCAGCGGCAACATCGCCATCGCCAGGAACAACAGGATCAAAGCTCCGCCGCCACCAACAAAGCCCCGGACGTGATCTCGGTCTCGGTGGTGTCGGGCATCGACATATCGGCGAGACAAGCCGTGAAGAAGGAAGCGCAGGGAGACGCCAAGGATTCGTGTAACTGGCCCAAAGCGCAGTGCCCGCGATCCGAGAGCGCAGTGGAGCAAATCCGTGTGGACTATGACGCGCTCGAGCAGCTCTCCATGGACGATCTTTACTTCCAGTCATCACTGCAAGCTCCTCGCCTCACTTAGAGAAAAGAGAGGGAATTTTTGTTAATACATAAACACGGGATTTCCACCTCCACCGTTGGATTTGTGGGTGGGGTTGGACGGTCGCGATTCGCTCTTGTCAAGCCCTAACATGTTGAAGGGCTTCTTCAACTTTGAAGAGGGAGACGGCCCGTGGCTGGGGAGGACGACGGGCAGCATCGCAATGGTCAGTGACGGCTTTGCCATTTCTTCATCACTTTTCAATGCCCTTCTCTTCCCCCCTTCTTTCTCTTAATTTCGTTGGGGTCTTCGTGCTCGATCCATCGCTGCCGCGCCATGGCGCCCCAATCCCCCGCCGGCGCGGCGATGGCGAGGCGCCGCGGGAATGCTGCGCCTTGGATCGCCGCGCCGGGGTGGAATGTGGGGGCATCAGGGCTTGGTAGTGTGACTAGTGGTCATTAGCTGGATTAACATTGTGTGTTCTTCCAGATCCAGGTTGAATCGATTCACACCTCCTCCATCCGCAAAGCTATATGATCAGGTATCACCAAAATAAGAAAGCTGTAAGCGAAAAAAATTCATTCCTTTCTTTCTCAGCTGGACGGAGTCTCTCGTGAAGAACTTCGAGGGGATGTCTGGCCCGGCTCCAGGTTCCAGGCCTCGAGGGCGGCCCAGAAAAGATGCGGCGGCAACCACAGCGGGAAGATCCGTCGTCGTTGCTCCAGGTTTAGTGCCTTTCGCTACGTCCTCGAATCTCACACAGCAGCAGCAGCAGCAGCACTCTCAGCAACAGCAGCAGCATTCCCAGCAGCAAGACGATCAGCACGCAAGCCAGCAAACCATCTTCCACCAGCAGCTACGAATCCACCACGAAGACGACGACGAGGAAGAAGAAGTTGACGAAGAAGTCCACCACCACCACCCTCATCCCCATCACCACCAACACCAGCATTCCCAGCAGCAGCAATCGCAGTCCCAGCAGCAATCACAGCCCCCGCAGCAACCATCGCAGCAGCAGCAGCAAAACTTGGATTGCGCGGAGGAAGACGAGTTCCTCGTCCGGAAGAAGAAGGAGATCAAGAGGTCGTGGCGGGAGGAATGGAAGCTCCAGCACAAGTGGGTGTATCCGGTGAACAAGGAGAGCGGCGAGCTGCGGCTCAAGTGCCAGTGGTGCACCACTTACAACATGGACAATGTGTTCGCCAAGGAAGGGTGTAGCACCATTCAGCTCAGCGCTCTCAACACGCACGCCAAGTCCGAGGCTCACAAGACGGCCGAGAGCCGATGGGAGAGCTCCGACGCCGCCATCACCGGCTTGACTGTTCTTCCCGACAACCTCTGGGGCTTCGGTAAGATCACAGACCCTCTCTCTTACTCTCTGTCTGTGAGTTCTCTCTTTTCGTCCTGTTTGTTTCCTTTCTCTCTGGTTTTCTATGTTTTCTCGTGTTCTTAGTTCTCTCTTTGTTTTCGAGCTTGAATTTGGAGTGTGATCGATCAAAGTTGCTTGGAGCTTGTGTGTTTAGTGACAAAACCGAGCTTTTAGCTCGAGATCTCTGCCCTTTTGCTTTCGTGCTTTCGTCGCGTTGTCTTCGTTGTTTTGTTTTGTTTTGATTGTTTGGCAGTGTGTGCTTAGACCTTGAACAAGAGCCACCGGGGGGTGATCGCACTCTCCCTTGAGATGACAAGCTTGAGTTTAAAACTCTCGCCTTTCATCAATCCAGGTGCTAAAGCTGGTGCTGTGGAAGGCGATGCAGGAGATCAGGGAGGAGGACTAGACGGGCCGGAGCTACACGGATCATCCACGGCGGCCGCAGCAGCAGCAGCGGAGATGAATCGCAAGAGGAAAGCAGCAGCGGCAGCAGGCCATCAACACCACCACCATCCATCGTCATCCTCGCCAGCAGGAGCAGCAGGGGCAGGGAGAGGAAGCAGCGAGAGCCTGGGCGGCATCTTGCAGAAGAACAACAGCCGGATCGTGGAGGTGCTGCTGGAGGCGGAGAGCGGGAGGAACCGGCGGCACGCCGTGGACGTGGGGCTGGCCAAGAAGCAGTACGCGCTCGAGGACCAGCGGCAGCGCCTCGACGGCGAGCGGCTCCAGTTCGAGCGCGCGCGGCTGGACGCGGTGGTGCAGCTGGGCCAGCAGTACAACGCCGCGCTCGCCAACATCGGCAATGGCCTCCTCAAGATCGGTGCCGCGCTCGAGCAAGCCAAGAAGCCCTAGTGGCCATAAACCCTAACTTTCGAGTTCGAAATCTTAAAATGCTCGCGCGTTAAAGCTGACGCGTGGCTTGCAGGGGGCCTGTACACGTGGCGTCTCTTTGGCTAAACCGTGCGTCTCTACTACGTGGCGGTTTAATCTCTTGTGTTCCAGTTACAAAGGAAATCTCTCTCCTTTTATTTTAGGGCGGATGCGTAGTGTTGCTTGCTGCTTTGCCGCTTGCAAGCCAAACATGCCTCGCAAGTTTTGTGTCGGTGGCAACTGGAAATGCGTAAGTGCTTTGAGCTAGCCTGGCTTGGATCATCGTCGACGTGGAAGAATCAAACCTTTTTTTTTTTTTTCTTGTGTAGAACGGAACTGTGGAGGAGATCAAGAAGATTGTTAATACTTTGAATGCAGCTGCCGATGTTCCTGGAGAGGACGTTGTTGGTAAGCTCGAAACTCCAGTTCTTTTTCTCGGTTTGATCACTCCATTTGGTGTTATAGAGGTGGTCATCGGCCCGCCATTTGTATATATTCCCCTCGTCAAGAGCATTCTCCGCCCGGACTTCGCCATCGCCGGACAAAACTGCTGGGTGAAGAAAGGTGGAGCTTTCACTGGCGAGATCAGGTTTGATTAGTCTCCAACATTTGTTTTTTGGTAGTTTCTAAAACAACTTCTTGGCGTTTCTCTTGGCAGCGCCGAGATGTTTAAGGACTTGGCGATCCCGTGGGTTATCCTGGGACACTCCGAAAGAAGAGCTTTGTGTGGAGAGAGCAACGAGGTAAACAATCCCAGCAAACTATGATGGATCACATCTTTTTTCTTTTTTGGTTTCCACCAGTTTGTTGCAGACAAGGTTGTTTACGCATTGAGTCAAGGGCTCAAAGTCATGGCCTGCGTTGGTGAAACGCTCCAGCAAAGAGAATCCGGCCAAACAAACGACGTTGTTGCTGCTCAAACCAAGGCGATCGCAGGTTTGGGTTTCATGTTTTTATCTTGCATCCAAAACACACACCCAAGCATAACTCTTGTTTGTGACAGACAAGGTCAAGGACTGGAAGAATGTGGTGATAGCATACGAGCCAGTGTGGGCGATTGGAACAGGAAAAGTTGCCACCCCTGCGCAGGCCCAGGAGGTCCATGCCGCACTTCGCTCCTGGCTGGAGAAGAATGTCAGCTCTGATGTAGCAAGCAAGACGAGGATACTCTACGGAGGTAAGCTTAAGCTCATCCTTCCTTTGGAAGAGAAACTCGCTCACATCTCTTTTGTTCTACTCTTTAGGTTCTGTGACAGCAGCCAACTGCGTGGAAATCGGCTCGCAGCCGGATGTGGATGGATTCCTCGTTGGTGGCGCTGCTCTCAAGGTAAACTTATCAAGAAGAAATTTCTTTTGCACGACCAAAAAAATCCCTTTTTGTTTTTTCGTTTTCTCGATTTTCACTTGCCTTGGCTTGCAGCCCGAGTTCGTGGACATCATCAAGGCAGCTAACGTGAAGAAGAAGTAGGCGCTGAAAACAGCAACTTCCATCGTTTCCCATCTCCATCCGGCGAGTTTCATTCGTTTAGCTATTTATTTTCCTTGGAACTGTGAGGAATTAGAGTTTGTTTACCATCAAAGAACATTCAAACTCAACTAGCAATAAAACAGCTTTTCTCTGATCTTCCAATCGAGTTGAGACAAACAAAAGACAATCCCACTAGCAACGTGGTGGTCCAGAAGCACTGACTTGGAAATTCTCCTCTTTAAATGCCTTCGAGGCCAAATCTCTTGATTTAAGAGCGAATAGAAATGTCGGCTGGGACGCTAGAGGTTTTTCTCATCGGCGCTACCGACATCAAGAACTGTGACATCTTGGGTACGAGTTTTCTTCCATTCTCTGATTCTTCTTCATCCTCTCTTTCTTCTTCTTCTAGGGAAATCGGACCCCTATGCGATCCTCAAGTTCAAAGGCCAGAGTTTCCAGAGCAGCACGGCCAAAGGTAAAGCTCTCATAGTTTTTTCTCTTATCTAGACCTTGTCTTCCATTGTCCAGGGCAGGGCTCCACACCGAAGTGGAACGAAAAATTCGTGTTTAGCCTCGAGGGTGAGAGCGACGTTCCTCTGGAAGACGAGACCATGTTTGTGAAGCTGTTCGACAAGGATCACGTCGTTGGCAGCGACGATTTCATTGGGACCGTCAGGAAAGCTTTGTTTTTTTCTTCTCAGACTTTGCTTTCTAGAGAGAGTAGTAACATTTCTTTCAAGCAGAGTTCCTCTGGGACAAGTTCTCGCCAGCAAAGTCGACGGTCCCAACGCGTACGACGTAATCCTCCCGGCCGGGATAATCCAAGGCAAAGTCAAGCTCTCCATGAAGTTCAAACCAGCCTAATATTTATTAGTAGAATGATAAATTTCGGTTGGACTTCTCTTCTGACTCCGTGTTCGAACCCATTCTAATGGATCCATGTAGGCTACTTGCTCTTGTCCTGCTTGTCAGAATTGTTTTTCATGCAGGTGCTGAAGATTCAGAGGTGAAAGCACTCTTAAACTTTAAAATTTCTGTGGATGATCCTCTTGCGGCACTGAATGACTGGAAGGCAGGCACAAACGTTTGCCACTGGATTGGTGTAAGTTGTTCCTCAGTAGGGCGGATCACTGGCATACAGATTGATTCTCTGTCACTTTCGGGCACAATCCAAGGCAACTTGTCTGCTTCGGGGAACAACTTCACTGAGATCCACATATCACCACAGAAATGCTCTTTGGAGGTCCTCGACTTGTCAAGCAACAATTTCACTAGTGATTTTCTAGATATTCTTTTGGTTACGTGCAAAGGCATCAGGCACTTGAACCTCTCATAAGAAATTTTTTGCTGAAGGGATCAATTGGGCATGCTATGGTTTCGGTTGATTTATCTCACAACAGAATCAGTGGCTCGATACCTGCTTCCATTTTCGCATCGTGCAAGAGCTTGCGGTTTCTAGAAATCTCGAGCAATCAGCTGGTTGGAGGGGTGCCTGAAGATATGTTTATAAACTGCAGAAGCTTACAAGAGCTTTCACTGTCGTCGAATAATTTGACAGGGGAACTCTCTGGTCTACGTTCATCCAACAGCCTTCAGAAGCTCAACCTGTCTACCAACGTTTTCACATCATTTCAGATCGAGCACTGTCCTAGTCTGGAGGAGCTGGATCTCTCTTTTAACAACATTTCTGGGACAGTTTTTCGGAAGGATTGTCAGTTTTAACAATATCACAGGTGTTATTCCTCAGCAGATATCTTGGCTGAAGAAACTCTGCTTGCTGTTTCTGAGCAACAACATGATATCTGGAGCAATCCCCGCATCTATTGGAAGTATGCTGAGCCTTCGATTTCTCGTCCTGGGTCACAACAAGCTTCAGGACGGTCTATCAAGTGAGCTTAGAAACAACAAGGGTCTAACTTTGTTTTTAGTGAACGACAATCAGTTGACAGGACAAATTCCAAGCTGGATCGGGCTATCCATCTGCAAAGCTTCACGAGGAGGTTTTCATACTGCAGGGGATCCGCTTGGATGACTTTGAGCACAAAGATGGCTCTTCCTGGTACCTCCCAGTTCCAACTTAACACCATATACTAACGTCAACAGTCTTTTGATTCTTGATCTCTTGCACAACACCTTCACAGGCACTAACTCACTGATATGCGAGACTTATATGTGCTATTTCTCAAACACAACTTACTTACAGGGGCCATTCCTTCCATAATTGGAAACCTCAAGAACCTGGAGTGGCTAGATTTATCACAGAACTGGCTTGAATCACACATCCCGGACTCGCTTGGCAACCTCACCTTCCTAAAACACTTAAACATCTCGTAGAACAAGCTTCTCGGAAGGGTTCCACCGGGTGGTCAGCTTGCAACATTCCCGGTGAGCAGCTATGAAGGAAACCCAGGACTTTGTCCTTGCTGAGTGTGCTGGTTTGCTTAATCCTTTGTAAGATGATGATCAAGGTGATGGTGGTGATGGTTAAATGATTCTGGTTGCCATTATTAGTGGTGGTGCTTCATTCCTACTATGGACCTTTGTAGTTTTCTTCAGTAGGCTTTCATTTTAGTATAAATTCATTATTTGGTAATAAAGGTTTTGTGGTTCTCACCATGATTTCCACAGCAAGCTCTGTTCCCTGCGTCCTAGACCTTCTGAAAGTTTGTTGCTTTCGGAAGACCTTCCAATCCATAGAAAACAGTCAAGCAGGACCTCTCAGCTCACATGTCCTGATCTGGGGATAGGCCACTTGTTTAAAAACGAGTTTATAAAAGGATCCAGTGTTTTTGTGTTGCTTTAGATGTATCTTTGTACTCAATATGGCATTTGCACTTGGTCAAGCGCTTTCTCCACCGTCTGAGCAGCTACTGGCAGGATCGATCGACCGCGCTGTTAAGAAGCCAAGCGCAAGATCACACACCAATAGTAGTGCGGAGCTCCAGGGAAACGACTCGGCATGAATGGAGAGGGCAACTGAAGCATATTCAGCTTGTAAAAGATAGAGCGCGTCTAAAGAGAACAATCTTGGTGGTGCTACGATCGTACCCGTCTATATCGATCCGCCTTGATCGACGGTGGAGATGTTACATGGGAAACTTCTTTTCTTTTGACTCTTCTTATGCCGTGTTCAAGCTCATTTCTCAAGAACCAGCCAGTCAAAGTCATGTGTGAATACTCTCCAGGTCTGACTGATGCTTGGTGGCCTTTATATGATCACAAGCACCATTCATTTATTTTATTGTTGTTGCATTCTAATGGAGCTATGTAGGCTATTTGCTCTTGTCCTGCTTGTTGTCAGACTTGTTTTTCATGGAGATGCTGAAGATTCAGAGTTGGAAGCACTCTTGAGCTTTAAAAATTCTGTGGATGATCCTCTGGTGGCACTGAATAACTGGAAGGCAGGCACAGACGTTTGCCAATGGATTGGTGTAAGTTGTTCCTCGGTAGGCCGCATCACTGGCATACAGCTTGATTCTCTGTCACTTTCGGGCCTTCTTCCATTTTCTACCATCCAAGCCCTGCCTCAACTACGCACCTTGAGTGCTTCTGGGAACAACTTCACTGGGATCAAAATATCACCGCAGAAATGCTCTTTGGAGGTCCTCAATTTGTCAAGCAACGATTTCACTAGTGATTTTCTAGATATTCTTTTGGTTACTTGCAAAGACATCAGGTACTTGAACCTCTCACACAACAAGCTAAGAAAAATTTCGCTGAAGGGAACAATCGGGCATGTTATGGTTTCGGTTGATTTATCTCACAACAGAATCAGTGGCTCGATACCTGCTTCCATTTTCACATTGTGTAAGAGTCTATCAGACAATCACGTATTTGGACCATTCCTCTCGGTATTTGCCAATCGAAGTTT